CAGTTAATGAACTCAATCCGTTCCAGAAAGTCATTCGTTAACCGAAACCAATGTTTCAATGGGTTTTTGGGTAATTGGTTCCAGCTCACCGAAGATTGCCTAAATTCAACAAAAATGGTAGAAAAGTTCACGTACTTTGAGGTGTGTATGTAGAAGGCTCCTGGATGATGATGGGAATTAGAATGGGGGTGGAGGAGAAGGAAGAAGAGAAGGCATTGGGGTGGAAGAGAAGTCACCCCATGGCACCATTTCACCCATAAAATTTTAGTTCTCTTGGTGTATTTCAAGATTATTTTCTTTAAATCAGCACTGCACTGCATTATATATTGTCAATATGTAAAATATATTTCAAAATGACCAATAATTTGCTTGGAAACACAGAAAAAAGCATTTAGTTGAAGAGAGTCTCAAGCAAGATGTTACCTCCAGTGAAAACAGAGAGAGACTAACGCCTGTTTGCTGTGTTAAGAGGCTGGATGCCGCGCATTAAACTAGTCACTTTACCTTCAATTATGTTCAATAATTGTTAAAATGACTAAAAAATTGAATATTAAACTTTTAAAATTATGGAATAGTATAAACTTCTTGATATTTACTAAAATAGTAATGAATTTAAGCCCTAGAACTGATTAATGTATTGGCAGACTGATACTAAAGCTGGTTGCCCGGTCAGTGCAAGTGAAAACATGTTGAGGTCGGTTCGTAAGAAATTCGTTAACCGAATTTTTGTTCGTTAACCGAATTGAAGATCCTTATGGAAGGCAGTTCGTTAACCGAAATTTCGTTAACCGAGGCGTTCGTTAAACGAGGGGTCACTGTATTAAAGTTTTAAGTAATTTTAACAATTATTTAACATAATTGAAGTACAGGGAACTAGTTTTTAGCACGCCAAACAGCCACTCGACTCACCCAAAATGGCGTCAGTTTGTGTCTCTGCTCACTGAACGAAGCATCTTGCTTGAGATTCTCTTGAACATAAACTATTTTTACAGTACAATTATTGGTCATTCTGAAGTTTATTTTACATATTGACAATATATAATGCAGTGCAGTGTTGATTTAAAGAAAATAATCTTGAATTACACCAAGTGAACTTAAAATTTTATGGGTGAAATGGTGGCATGAAGCATGGGGTGACTTCTCTTCCACCCCAATGCCTTCTCTTCTCCCTTCTCCTCCACCCCCACTTCTAATTCCCATTATCATCATCATCATCAATCAGGAGCCTTCTACATGCACACCTCAAAGTAAGTGTACGTTACTGCATTTATTTTTAGTTTGTATGTAATTTTTGGTGAGCTGGAACCAATTACCCAAAATCCCATTGAAACAATGGTTTTGGTTAATGAACGACCTTGTGGAACGAATTGTGTTCGTTAACCGAGGGACCACTGTATACATTATGCAGTACATACAGTACTGTACATGTATACATTATGCAGTACATACGGTACTGTACATGTATACATTATGCAGTACATACAGTACTGTACATGTATACATTATGCAGTACATACAGTACTGTACATGTATACATTATGCAGTACATACTGTACATGTCCACAATTGAGGTTAGGTTAGAGTTTTTTCTGGAACTTACTTTAACCCTACAGTATTTTTACCAGGATGTATTGTTTACCCATTACAGATTTGCCCAACATGGCATTATCCAAGAGCATAACCCCCCTCCCCCTCACATTGGACAAAATCTTACTGTATATTAATTATGAATTATATTGCATCCAGTAAACAAAGTGTTAAAATCTTTTTAAAATATTGAATCTGCATTATTTGTTAACTTTTATTTTAGAGGGAACTTGGAAGCCCTACATACACTGTATTGGTAATACCAAATGGGTTAGTAATAAAAAGCTGTAAAACCAATTTCAAATTTGCCTGATAGTAATTGGGACACCAGGCCATCAGATAATCACAGCTAACCAAAGCAAATGTGGAAAATTGCCATGAAACAGTGATAAAGATAATGATGTTAATGTTATTTACAATGTGACTTGTCTACCCTGCTGGCTTGGCCATACAGATAAGGATCCAATTTTGAATGAAAGGAGTCAGGTTTCTGCTGTTAACTTAGCATGTCAAGTGTTACTGAAGATAAATTTCTAGAAAAGTTCATTTACAGTACATTTGTTTAGAGCAAACCTGGTTTCTCACGGTAACTGGGGGGGTTATATTTCAGATTCCCTTCTACAGACTCAATATTGTCAATGAGGGAAATAATATAAAAAGAAAACAGTAAAGACATAAGCTGGAAGGTATATGTATAAAAGAAAGCCACACACATTGAAGACTCCTCCCTCTTCTTGCTATATACAGTAGATGCTTATACAGGTTCAGCAGCTTCTCATTAATGATGCTCGAGTTCAGCACTGCTAACTTCAGACTCTAGTCCTTCACTTATGTGGCAAAATGTTTTTTTCTTCAATATATTTAACATTCCTGCTTATATTTCTGATAGTAATGCTGACTAAACTACATAACTTTTAATCCTGTCTACTGTCTTCCTAATTGTAAACTTGAATTGCTAATGTTAAGCATACAGCCAAGTAAAGTATTTGTAACTTGGTTTTCAAGATCAAAGTCTTCCTAGATTTCTTGAAATGTACAAACACTGAATTGAAGGTGCCATGATCCTAACTAAAGTGTGTGTGTGTGTGTGTGAACAAATGAAGACAGGGAGTGGGAGGATACCTCACACTATAAACATCACATGTGTCCTGGTAGGAGTTAGATTGCACATCCCAATTCAAACAAGACGAACACTGCCATGCACCTCAGTCACGGGGAATATGAATGGCTCAGTGTGAACCATAACCATGTTTTTAAAGCCTCTAGGAATGCTACTTAATATATCAAACGGTATTATAAATTAAATACATGAGCTGAAGCCCCCCAAAATAACACTAGCGTTTTCACGTACTTTGAGAAGTTTCAACGACTAGAGTCTATCTTACGTAATTGTTTTCAACTGGTAACACAGGTTTGTGAGCATTACGTGCAATTGAGCAGGCTGTTGTTATGCTTTCTTATTGATCAGCCATGCCAACCTCTGCCAATGATAACTCGGTATGCCTCAAAACACACATACCAAAAAACTAATAATAATTGGCTGGAAACAAGACAGTTCACACATTCAAACGAGAGATGGCTATCTCCATACTCATCCAGACCCATCCTTGATGTCAAGAATACAGACCTCAACCAAATTGGGGCAATTCACTGAAAAACCTCTAAATTCTTTCCCACTTCCCCACCAACCACCATTTCCTATTCCCCCCCTTTTTTTTGCATTATTCTCATTGAGATTCAGAATGCAATATTGAGACCACAACATGGCTGAGTGTAGGAAAAACTTTTTGGAGGTCAATTCCATAAATCTTACTAAAGCTGCTTGCACCCTAGTATGACTCGCAACTGCAGTCACCCAATTTCTTTACCATAACCAACATTTTCTCAGGAATAAATTAAGAATTTCTTTCAATTGTGAGAGGTTTTATTTAAAAAAATGTAATAGAGCATTTTTTAGTACACTCTGAGTTTTTATACAGCCTGTTTATGAGTGAAAAAATTTAATCCAATACCACATGTGGATGGCCACGAACCTAACCCTATTTTTCCCACAAGTTAATCATTTGGAAATTGTCCAGTCCATTGAATATATTAACTAATATGCTAATCATTAATATTCCCTAGGATAGCTTAAAACTTTATGCAAATGATGTTCAGCACAGTAGTTTGAACTTTTAACATTAGTGTACTGTATAGTGAAAATACATTTTCATGTGTACGTACTGGGGGAGGAGGGCAATGCACCACCATGGCAAAATTTTGTTATACCAAAGTTTCTGCTGATTTGAATCATCCAATGCAAGTATTAGTCCAGTAAAACAATGTACTACCTTACAGAGAACTTCCTCAAACATATCCTTCATTCCCTGGCTGCATAAGATCTTTGTTCAGTGCTGATGTATGGTACCAAGTAATGTTGTTCAGTCCTTCTTCCAACTTTTGGGCAAGATATAACCTATACAATACAACTTGAACAAAACTAAATTAAATTACTTGAACCTTCATAATTATTAGCAATGGTTACTAAAGTGTAGGGACTGGGTTATGTTGACAAACTAGGGACCAGCCTTTCATCCTTGCATGGAGTCTGTAATATATTTTGAGCAATGTTTAGTTTGTTCAATATCATTCATCTAGAGAGGAAGCCATCCCTCAAAAAGGACAAAATAATTGAAATGAATACTACAAATTTAGTTTATCATTAAACTGCACTTACATTTTTGTGGAAAAAAAGAATTTTGTGTATATCTGGTCCCATGTGAAATTCTGACTTCTTACACAAGACTAAATGCTTATATACAGGGTACCATACAATAAATTATTAACTCCAAGTACATTATAACATATACTGCACGGAAAAAATTCCAAGTTTTGTCTTTAATATTGTGAGATCTGGTGGCTTAACAACCACAATTTTCTGAGTCAGAGTGAGATCAACAGAGGTCAAACTGTGTCAAAGAACTGCATCACTTAAGAATTATTTGATTCACACAAACGATTTCCTTTAAACCATGTAGTAATGGTTCACAGAACACCACATTCAATGTAGTTTCTCCCAAAATTATAAAACACATATTCTTTCCACAATTAGGCAACTACAGTATTATATTGCATCTTACCAAATAAACAAAACAATAACTTAGGGGGGAAAAACAAGAGTAGAAACACACGACAAACATAAATTGCACCCGTACTGCTTTGTTCTACATCTCATGCAAACTGGCTTAAACAAAATCATCTCTCTTCTGAACCAGTGCAACATCAAACTAAATTCTTTACCATTCAAGGAATTACATTATCCTAAATATCATTTGCACCCTCAAGAGTCTCTCAATACTGTAATTACAGTTATCATATCAGAACTCTAGATATGACTATATACTGTACTAACAAAAATAAAACGATCATTTACAGTTGATACAAATTTCAGAAGTTTCCTACTATGTCTACTTTCAGATACAATACTTTACAGAATGTATTTAGTTATTAGTGTAATTTCTATTGCAGTAGAACGAAAATATCTATCATTTTCAATGTTCAACTGACCCGCAATCTGCATATGATGTATACTGTATAACCTTACTTAGAAATACTGTTTTCTCACCGGCCATGACCATAGTCAGGCCTAAAATGTCCACCAGGATTTATATGAGGGTAGCGCTCCCTCTCCATCAACATCTGTCTTTGCAGTTGCTCATGGGCGTGGGCTACTGAAATCTGAAACAAGAAAAATGATGATACTGAACTTCATTCAAATTAGCCCGATGATAGGACAACAGTGGTAGAGAAGAATGGAAAATAGTATTATTATTAATATATAGGTAATTACAAACATTTTAGAAATAATTAAAATAAAACAAATGTTTAATTGATCTATTGCAGATTTTCATAATTAGCAATATTTTCTAGATTCAGATGAACAGCTATACAGTTAGTACAAATCAGGCATTCCGTGCAACAACCCCGAAATGACTAAAAACAAAAACTGAGTTGCTGTACTGTAACGAGCGATAAAGTTTTGAAACCTGGTTTTCGCCCTAACATCATCAATAATAGTTAGAAAATGATGGTTTTGATCTCATTTTGAAGGTATAGAGTAGGAGATTAGGGGAAATGTCATAGAAAGTGTCTACAGTTGTTCTAAAAATAAACAAACTATTACTCCCCTGAGTACCATGCCATCAGATTTAAGAAGGATAAGCAATTATTTCATTAAAAACAAGATTGTAAAGTATGGAAATAATGATGAGAAATTGGGTGTGGCAAATTTGAGGTTGCTGCTCAGAAAGCCAACTTGCAACAATGCCATTAGTTGTCAGTCCCATCCTCTGAGGAAGGGGAGACTATTCTGACACCATAGAAAACAGATTGTTGGGACCATGGCGAGTTTGGGTATTGTAGCTTTGGATGCAATTTATACATGCCATTCTGATTAAAAATTAAATCATAATTTATTTTCAAAGATTCAGAAAAGTTTCACAAGGCATAAGGAGAAAAGGTTATCACCAGTTTAATGAAATAAGACACAAAAGGTGCAGAGAAATAAAAAAATTCATATTTGTAAGTGACACTACATATTGATACAAAAGTGTAAATTGGGCAACTTACATGAGCTAGTTCCTCATATGGTCGCCCTAATAAGGCAGCAGCATGGTGGCTTTGGGGTGGGTATCCAGGTGGGGGATCACCTGGCCTCAGCATTGGTGGCCGAGGAGGATAACCAGCTGCAGCTGCCGCTGCCGCTGCTGCTGTTAACATATAGTCATTGTAAAATATTCTTGATAAAATTAAATTTACAGCATTAAAAATAGAGACAAATTCAGAATCCCAAATGAAAGGATACTTATATACACATAATTTCACACACAAAATATAAAAACACCTAGATACTGAAAAATAAATAAATACACCATCATTCCACTCAGGTCAAAGAGCACATTCCTACAGTATGTTAAAACTAATGGCAAGCTGTTTACTATCTCATAGAAATGAATTTATTACACAAGTTAAAAAAGTTCCCTAACTGCAAATTTTGTGTACTCTCAGATTCAACCATGCAAGGATAACAAATACATGCAATAATCAAGTCAGTTTAATGTGTGAGGATTTAGACATGCTGTCCAATGGCTCATGCACAACTCTTCACAGGTCCTCCATCTCTAAACTATTTTTAACCCTCAACAATGCATCTACTAATTTCTTAACCATTTCATGACCATAAACCACAACTATAGCATTAACATAGTACTGTACTGTAGAGGTGATATTCATGTACAGTAAAGTATTATAATTTAATTTTGTTATAAAGAAGAGATTAAATTAGACTAAAATATTTACATTTCTATCTAACTATTGACCATGAAGCAACAAGGATACCAAACTCTATAATGTACTGGTATCTATAATTAACTACAATAATCCTCTCAATCTTAATTCATATTGTCACATAAAAAGTAAAATGAGTCTTATACAGTACTGTACTGTACCTATAAGCTTTACATCACTCACTAAGCTAGTCATCTGTCAGTGAAATTTCCATCTCAAATTATGCTTCCACTTTAATACACAAATCTCCTACATCCATACAGTCACAGACAAACATTCACTCCTGTGCTGAAACTGAGTCATGGGAATGAGTCTCTTTGCTTATTGTTGTCTGGTGGGGTTGTGCTGCTTTATCTTGTTTGGGGTCGATTTTGCTTCATTTTGGGAAAGAGAGAACTTTTGACCCTGACAGGCACCCCATTCCTAAACCTTAATACTGTAATCCAGTAATAGACTTATAACCTCATTCATATGATATATCTCTTCCCTGCATACCTTTCAATGCACTGCACTGCCAATTAATTTTTTTCTCCAAAAGACACTCCACATATTCATACCATTTTAAATTACTTTTATTCACAGATTTTCCATGGACTTTTTCACCCCACATTTATTTCATACACGTTCATTTTTTATCATATCAACTCTCTTATCTCTTATAATAATAGGGCACTGGATATATATACAGTATATGAATTTCTCCTGTACTGTGGTCATTCATCACCTATCTGTACAGTACTTATAAGATCATCGTCACCCATAAATGATATCTCAACATAGTAATTTAGTTACTGTACTAATGTTGAACTGACAGCAATACTATACAGGAATACAGCAACTCGCTATTTGCAACTCCGCTTATTCGCAAATGAAAAATTATGATACCCTACAGTAATATTTAAAACTGGGCAGGCTAGACCCAGCTCTCATATTCCGATGTAAGGCCCACTTCATACGCGCCCTTTTTTCCGTGCTTACGGACAGACCAGCGCGGTTTAGAAACTACTGAAGTTCAATGGGACTGTTCACATGGAGCACATGTGTGAAAATTCACGCAAGGGAGACACTCACCCCACGCCTGTACCTGTACTTCCAAATCACAGCGTGAAAATAAAGTATACACCGAGCTTCTTGAATTCTTCATATGGCAATGGTAAATGCTTATTTAAATATTTACATTCATTTACAAACATTGTGTGTGCATGCACACACACACATAGTGTTCTTTTGTGTTGTTTTTGTTATTGTAGTTATTTTATTGCATTATATGTAGTGTACCTGTGTATCAAAATTTTTTTATTATAAAATATGAAGAGCACAGGTGTGTGTGTGTGTGTTAGATATGAGGATGGCACTCGGATTGACTGATCCCCCGTTTAGTCTTAATTCGCTTAACTTTAATTTGCTTCAGCAATAAAAAATATTGACACCCTTTCTCACCTAATTTTAAGTAAAAATTCGGTTTAGCCACAGCTTGACACACTGGGATGGGGAAAACTGAGGATGAGGTGGCCTGTGAGATGGCATGTTGCCAGTGTTACATGTAATGAAAATATGAACTTTGTGGAAAAAACATAACAATACTCTGATGTGGTTTAAAAATAAAGAAAAATAATATAAAACTATAAAATAAGAAAAAATGAAGAGCGTGTGTGTGTGTGTGGGAAGTGAGCATATGTGTGGAGGCAGTGGGTTGTAACTACGTCACCAGCCCAGCCAGCACCGCACTCCCTCTCTAATGTGACGTCATGGTATACACACAGCGCAGCAGACACACACACATGTTTCCGAGTCAGCTGGGTGATTGCCTGACTGAATTATGTTGCGTCGCCCAGAGGATGGTTTGAGTATGTGGAAGGAGCTATTTTTTTATACATAAATAATGTGCTATTGTATTTTCTGATATGCAATGTATCAATTTTATTGTTTATCAAAGCATTTTTTTCATATTTAACTTATGGAATTTGAAATTTGTTCGAATTTGGCTCACCTCGTGCTCACTAAATCGTTTTACTCTGACCCACATCATTTATATCGAAGTTTAGTGTTAATAAATCAATCGTTTAACTCCATAACAGTTTATAATGAACTTGTTTATTATTACAGTATTATTATTATTAGGGAGTACAGTACTGCACTTAGTGTTTACCGCCCTGCCGTTTGAACCTGATGTTTCCCCTCCGGGCTTCGGTGTTATTCCGATATTAACGATAATTTTGCTTAACGTTTGGTTTTCAGGAGCACAACCCCATTGTTAAAGGAGGAATACCTGTCCATAAGTGATCTCTGAGGTAACCCTGATATAATTATGAGCAATTTAATGAAATATGAGAATACAACACCAAAAGTATGAATATCTATAACCTGTAAATTCTTGGGCATGCCAACCAAAAAGTAAAAACTTGCATACATGAGATAAAAAGTCAAAGAAACATTAAGGAAAGTTCTGTCCATAATGCAAATCTAAGCTATTAATGAAATATTGTACCAAGAAAAAATCATGCCATAAAATACATGAACTTGAATGTGCAGTCAAGGGTCAGAATTTCAGTCTGGGAAAAGCAGTGTAACCTGATCTAGTGTGAATATATAATAATACAAAAAGAAGCTGAGGATGAAAGATCGTGTAAGAATTGTGTGAATAAAACCCTGAACGAATAATCAAAAGCAAAATGAAGAAAAGTTACCACCAACAACCATTAAATTCATCAATCATACAAGAGAAAGTTAAAAATTTTATATAAAAAGCAATATATTAATTCCTTTGCATACCATCATGGAGGTAACATCATCTACAAACAATTAAGGCACATTCTTTGATCACACATCAAAGAATTTGTGCTTCAAACTTAAAGAAAGGTGACTGAAACATTGTAAATATACTGCCTAGAGTCAGAGACCCCCCTTAAAAAATATTAAGCCAACTGCATAATGTCAGCACATGTTTTAACCCAAAGCAAAGTCGTTTTAGGGTACTGTTCACAATGGAAGATAAAATAAATATAAATGAAGAAAACAAACAGAATACGTATAGCAGATGTAAGAATAATCACAGGACAGCAATAAAGAGTGAGTAAATTAGCCTGATAACAGAGAAACTAAGAAAGATTGCAAAAAGTGGCAAAGACCGTGTAAATATTACGAGGCATTTAATTAATATTTAAAGCACATAAATGCAAGCAATGACGAAGTACTGACTTTCTAACTCGAATTACTGTAGATATGAAGAGTTGCTTCTGAAATCCCATTACAATACTAATTACTGTACAAAACCTGGACCAGGCAACCTGTGTACAGAAATACCCAGAAAAGTCTACTAAATCAAGACTGGCCATTCTTGCTTGCTACAATGGGTGTGGTTTTCCCAGGCTTCCAATTTCTAGGGTCTATGTAGGTTCCCAAGCCCATGGCAAGCCAGCCAACCTCTAAGTGCAAGACAATCTAGAACAGTTCCTGCATTTCACAACTCTCACAGTACTGGCCCCATAGGTTGTTTGGTTATTACCCAAGTCATCTGCTACAGGCAAAAAGATCATATAAATAAGCTATAACCCATTGTTAATTTTAAACCTAAATGATCAAACAAACTTTGTCCTATATCTCTCTTTCTTCATGCTTCTCATTCACCCTTTTATCTATCTATCTCATCTTTCCCCCATTTCCACGAAAAATCTTTCCATTCCAGCCATTCAAATGAATTTCCGAGATTGCATCATGCGCCGACATGTGCTGAGCGCATGGGTGGGTAGGCTCAGAATGCTCATGAGCTACGATTGGCTACTACTGTCATGTGACTGCATGGGATGCCAACGATTGGCTGATGTATCTCGCAGCCTATCTTCTCAAACTCTAGCATCACTGCTGCTTTTGCATACTATCTATGTGGTGTACTGTACATTAATGCATCAAGATACAATCAGCCAAGAATACCATTAAAGCTGTGTTGAGACAAAAAGTGATCACAGTGACGTATACTGTACTGTACGTTCAATAAGTGTGAAAGTACCGTACTGTATGTACTTCAGTCGTCGACAAAATAATCTGGACACGTCTGGTAGCAATACTGTACTCGTTGAGACATTCAGACCATGTCACAATGTTTCAGTCTCTTATCCCATGTTGCTCAGCAAGGTGGGTGTGTTAATAGAGAAGAAATGATACAATTAAAAAGGATCAAGGACAAATAAAATGTGATGCCTGATAAGAAGTTCTGAAGTCCTAAGTTACAGAGGAGCAAGTGGCAAAACCCCAGGACACGAGAGAGAGAGAGAGACCAGCCTACCATTGATATTCTTTTACCTCAAGTTCAAAACAATCCTGTCAGCATGAATGTGTCGATTTAAGATATTACAAGTGGAGGAAACCATAGCTTCCATAAGCTAAGTAAAAACCAACAATAATTCACAACACTGAAGAGCAACAGTCATGCATTGTTTCTAATAAATTTCAGTGAATATTCTTGCCACATGAAATAACAAGATTTACATATTTTCTAGGAAATAATCAAGGCTCTACAGTTCAGAAACATGCATACAAAAAGTTCAGGCAATCATTATAAAAAGAAATGAGTGATTAGGACTGATCTGATAGATACAGTACATGGCATGGCAAGTGCAGTATTTACATAAAATTATAAAAAAAATCATAAGTTTTGAAAGTGTAAGAAAAAGCTTTTATCCATGGAAGAATCAAAAGTGGAGGACAAAATATTTTTTTTTGCATACTACAGTGTATACTACAATGCATGACATCATTCAAGAAATACACAAAACATGGTGTGCAAACTAGGAATCTCTGTAGTGATATAGATGACAGTTAAAGCACACAGTACAGCAATTACCAAGTGTCAAAGCAAATACATTTTATTCTTGGTGTTTATGTAACTGTCATGTGAGTTCCTGAATGTAATTCTCTATAATTGTAGTGTAATCTAGTAACAGTGGTTTAAAACTAACTTGATAGTATAACATCAGAAGTAGAGTGTATCAAGGCTAAAACCAGTCATGGTTATAACTAGAGTAATATTTTCCTATCAGAGGAAACATCCCTTTCATCCTAATACTGTACCCGTACCTCTACCAATCATCAATAGTTAAATGTTTAAGAATTTAATGGTATAAAAGATGTGAAATACTTCTGACAGTATTAATGCAGGTTGCCATCAAAGGTTGTCATTAAAATATAATTTATTCAACTTTCAGTGTATTCCCCTATTATATACTATCTACACACTGACCTTAAAGCTCCACTTAATATTACCATACATTTATAAAATGTTTTTGATCATTCTAAAATCTAAAAATTTGGAAAAGCAATCAACTGTGAATTTTTCTGAGTATGGTAAGTGTAATCCAAATTTCCTAATGAGAATTTTCATGGAAAATACTTTCAGGTATCAGAGAGAGAGAGATGAGTTACTGACTGAGGGGACACATTCTGTTAACAAAGATTAGTGATATTTGTCATAGTCTTTGCACATGAAGTTCTAACAAAAAACTGGGAGACTTGGTTGAATTATTTATACTATATGACTTCAAAATTAAATTACAAGAAATCAAACTGATAAATATGTGAAATATCTTTCTACTTGGCCAAAAATTTGTCAGGAAAATATTTACTAACCAAAAATCCCCTTCAAAATATTTTTTTCTAAGTACTGTAGAAGCATTTCAAAGATTAGTGAGAATTTTATATAAAAAATTAAATGAATAAATAAAAAGGTCAGTACTGAACACGCGTTAAAAGAATTTGGTTATGAAAGTCTATACAAAGTATAAAGTGTATGTAAATTGCCTTCACTTTGTAATATAATTTTTCCTGGTCATGACTATAATGATGCTGCCTTAATGTGTAATTTTCATGACGAGGAGGACTTTGTACAGTACAGTATAGTAGACAACACAGCAACAAGTGAGGGACAGATTAGAAGTACAGTGAAACCTCTATTTAAGGACTTTATGGAGAGCAAAGTCTGTTATATCGAGGGTCCGTTAGATGCGAAATCTCCATCTAATGAACTATATAGAGATGAAAATTCCATTATATCAAGGATCCGTTAGATGTGAAACACACATTTCACGGATTATATGGAGAGTACAGAAGAAAACATCTCAATAGAAAATATTAATTAAGTTGGAACGAATGTGACTAGACTACGACCATCTAAGACTTGTGAATGTAAATGTGTGTGTGTGTGTGTGTATATTTGTCTGGATGTGTGTGTCTGCATACCTCCAGGATGAAGGTGGAGGTGGGTGTGGGCATGGGAGTGAGTATGGGCATGAACTTCGTTGATCATCTGCATCCGGTGCATGTGGTCAGCCAGGGCTAGCCTCTCCGCAGTGGACACAGTCAGTGGGTTGTCCGAATGAGTAGCACCCGCGCTCAGGCCCAGGGTCGTGGCTGGTAGCCCTGCACACAACATACAATGATCACCACCTACAGTTCAAGAACACGCTACCAACTATGACTGCATCAGCTCAGACACGTTAAGATTGGAGTATGGTGTGTGTGTGTGTGTGTGTGTGTGTGTGTGTGTGTGTGTGTGTGTGATATGTGATATGTTAGTAAGACAGTATTAGTGCTAAAATATCAGATTATGTAAATGGAAACATACACTGTAGTGTTAAAAGGGAAGGTAAAACATATGATGCCATGATAAATGGAAGGAATATAGTATTAAAAGATAAGACAATAGGTATAAGGAAGGTTGTGGAAAAAGAATATTATAGGATTGTTCAGGTAAATGGGAATGAAAATGAAGATGAAATACAAGATACACATGAGTACAATACAGTATGGTTAAAACAATCCACAAGATCAAGAAAAGCATACCGTATTCTGTAAATACAGGTATATACAGGATATAAACTTAATACTGTACTGTACACTATAGAAGCGACATACAGTAGCTGAGGTACATTTAAAAAAATCAATAAAAGGGAGCTTTAATACAAGCTACAAGCTGCTGAAATCTCATCAGCTGTTGCAAAATGTGCAATGGTCATTTTTAGCTATGTTAGGTACAGTAGTTCTATGAACACCTTTCCTGACTTGCTGACAGAGAAGTTCTCCCAAATCCATCACATCTAAAACATGGACTCCATAGAACATTCCCAGCTTGTATGCATGTCTTACTCAACACTGATGAAGCAATGAATTGTTTTCCAATGACCATGTCTCACTATCTACCTACATACTGTACAGGTATACCAATTTGGTATTTTCTCCAAAACTACTGTACTGTATCTTTTAACACCAATCCCACTTAATTCAGGTAAAGTCCTTTTATGTACATTACCTTGAAGTTTAAAGATTCCCTGGTGAAAATTAGTGCTTTAATAAGGTAATGATGAAAAAAAAAAATAATAATAATTTCTTAGTGGATTAGAAGTCAGTGTTTGGAAAGATGTTGGAAAAGAAACTACAGTATGGAATGGAAGTTAATAAATACTACAGTACTTCAAATTTCAGAAGCTTCCTTGTTGAAGTCAAAGCTTTATCATGAAGATAAAAGCTTATGCAGTATCTAAGTATATTTTCTTGATGGGGTTCACCTGGCTTTGAGGGTGGTGGAGCTGAGTCAACCAAGGGAAGAAGTTCAGATCATATTGTCAAAGCAAACTAACTATGTAAATATCAAATGAATCAATTCCAGTACCAGTAATACAGATAAATACTTCAAAATATAATTAATGCTACATATACAGTACAAATAAATAATACAGCAGACCCTACTGTACTGTACTGTATTGTACTATGCTTTCAATATGATGCACCAACCTAAATTACCCAAACTTTGTTAATACAAATATATATAATATTCCCTTAAAGCTTGCGGGGGTTAACTAAAATGGACCCCACGAGAAAGCAAAATTCACGAGTTTTTCATGATGGTCCCAGGAGTGTGCAAAATACATATAAATAGCTATGGTATAGGCACATGTATAACAAAATTACGTATGCATAAGACAATAAAGTGATAGTTAGCTGTGGTAGTGAGAAGCATGACAGCATATAGCCAGCGACTTGGACTTGCTGTAGGTAAGGTGAATGATAGTTATGATGACGCTGATGAAGATGATGACTATGAGGCTGATGATAAAGACGAAGATGATGCTTGGTGATGATGTTTACTGCCTCTCACCCTCGTCTGCCTCAACAGGGGAGGCAGGGATGGCTGGGGAGAGTGGTGGGGAGGAGAGACCACAGTCTGCTGTCCTGGGAGGATAGCAGACTATGAACAACGCTAGGCATGGAGAAGTATGTGCACCTCCCACGGTCGCAGTCTGACGCTTGACTTGTGCACCGCCCCACAGTCTCATATTATTTTATTTATTTTCCATGGCAATCCAAAAGTTCCAAGGAACACAAGCTTCAAGGGAATATTGTATACAGTACATTATAAAGAGAGAGACAAAAAATATGAACAAATGTTAAAACTGGTATTAACCCTTAGGCCCCGGGTGATGTTCCAGAAAGTCGGCCTATTTTCCCGCCATTTTTATTTTTTATTATTAAAATTATTATTATTTTTAATTATTTTTGGAAGTTTATCTTTTTTCCTCGATTTATCCCTTGCGAGGGGGTTACTGCCAGCAGCACCCTAACCCGGGGCTTAAGGGTTAACCCTTCACTCCGGAGATGCCACTTTTAATGCCAAACAATTCTATTCAGCAGTGAGAGGACCCCGTACATAAGTGGTTAAACAATAAGATTCACTTCAAGCAAAGCTTTTTTTTATGTAAAAAAAAAGAAACTATAAACATGAAAAAATAAAAATAAAGACACAAATGATGTTATGCATCATGCCAAAGCCTCCAGTGACATCCACAGCTCATTCTCCCTTTTCAAAATGCCTAATACATCCATTTTCACATCTAAAGTAACACTTCCTTTGTCTCTTCTGTACATGACAACAACTTATTGTACAGTATACTGCATCTGCCAACCTATAAGACACACCCCTCCCCCCCACCAAAAAAAAAAATTCAATAAATAAATACTCCCAAAATAGCCTGCATCTTATGCACATATATTACAGAATATTGTAGGGAAGGGATGGCCTTTTTCAACATTTAGACATGCTTAGGTTTACATGCAGCCCCCTAATAAACCCCCGAATCTATTAATTCAAATTTTGTGCTACTATAACATATATAAAATAGTGTACAGTACTGAAAAACAAGCAAAAATAAACAAATTTAGGAATATTTTCGTAGACGTAAGCATACCTACACGGTAGGCCAAAAGGCTGAAGCAAACTCACAACTCCCTGTATCTCCTTTCCCAGCATTCATAAACCATACTCTCAACCTTTCTTGTGTTACCGGTATTTAAAAATTTTTCTTCTTCAAGCAACTTTTGAATATTATCGAAAAAAGAAAAAAGCAAAAAGGCAGTTAAAACTATAAATGACAGTTCTCAACCCAGATAAAACATTGAGAGCTAGCACAGCTGATCAGGTAGACTGGATTAGCATTCTACTTAATTTCTTAAGTTTTTACACTTAAATTTACGTTATCCCATGGCTCAAAAGCCACTAAGACGCTGTTACAATATGAAGTACAGTGCACAGGTATCCCTCGCTTAATGAATGGCTTAGGTCCCTGGAAAACCATATGTTAAGTGAAATTTTTTAAATAAAAAAAACATATTAATGGTAAAAATAGGGTTGGGTTCCCAACGACAAGAAAACACCCAATATTATACCCCAAACACGAATTACTTTCATGATAAACAAAAACAACCAGCCTAACTAATAAAAAATAGTACCCATCTACTGTAATTTATTACCCACACTTTAAAAACATTAATAAAGTAATATCTAGATGAAAATATGAAACTAAAACCATAAGGAAAAGCCAAATGAAAGTTTAACACAACCGCCATTTATAAGACATAGCCACATGGCTTCAAGGCTCTCCATAGCAACTCAAACCCAGCTTCTGCTCCCCCTCCAGCTCCCTCACTCAGCTTGTTAACTCTCCCACTCAAAGATATGTTTATTCCCTTTATGTGTGTGACCTAATGATAGTTATTTATTTATTTATTTTTTACACATTATATATGAGGGATTATGTGAACACATAATGGAGTGAAAATAAAGTGGAGAAAGTTTTTTTTTGGGGGGGGGGCCCGATCTTGCACCATCGTGAAGATTGCGTCACACACACGTCTCTTGCTATTGCAGTAATACAGAGGCCACTATATTTCATCCCAATTATTCCTCCTGAACCACGAACCCCCAGATTCAGACTTGGGAATCTAAAGCATTAATGGACAGATCCGACAGAATAATGCATTAGTGTTTACTACTTCAGGTTCACGAGTCTGAATCTTGGGGTTCGTGGAGGAGCAGGAGAAGCGACAAGACTTTCGTTGATGACTGTACAAGACCAGCAATATCTCCGATTTTTCAACACACAATATGCTGTAGATATTGTGTAATGAACTGCTCTTTATATTTTGTATAATATTGTACTGCTTATTTCATCAACAAGGCAAGCAAAATTGGTAATGATGATGTTGGAGGAGGGCCAAAACAAAAGCATAAAGATACAATTATTGCTGTTACATTAAAGTAGCAATCACTTATTTCATTCACTACACCCTCAGCCTTTTAAGTGCTGTATAAACAAGTTAACCCAAATACATTGTGTTAATGTGTTTGCTTTATATGTTTAGTGGAATTTGGATACAACAAGGCATCGTAAATGTTTGTACAAGGGACATAAATGTACAGAATACTTAATCTGGCTGCAAATTATTTTATTTCATGCTCAAGAGGAATACAGTCTAGTACTCTCAGGACACAACCGAAAATTCACAAAACCCGGATCCCCTTCCACTAAATGGTCAAACCAAACTGTAGTACTGTACTGTATTTATAATCAAAACATACCATTACATGCAACAAAATCATAACACTCTGAGGAGCAAATGTACTGTACTTTAAACACATCTTGATTTCTTTATGTACCAGTATTCATAAACACAAATTTCCATTTAATATGAACTACAGTACTCTCAAGATCCTATAAGCAACAAATGATCAGTGTGGTTATGGAAGAATGAATGCTTCATGCTTGAATAGTTAAACAATTATGCTTTCTTTTCAGTGTACTGTAATGTACAGGAATCCCTTGCTATACAAACATTCCAGATACGAATACAAATTTCCTAAATTAACGACTCTTTTCTCATGTTATGAAACCTTACTCCGTTTATGCAAATTTGGGTCCCAGCAAAAATTCAAATCGTGTGTCCCGGGAGTCAGCTGGGACGGCATCTTGGGAGAAATGCGCAGGAGAAGTATCCTCGCTCACTGATCATAACAAACCCCTCTTTCATGTTTACATAAATAACAATTCAATTCAATTCAATAAAATCTCTCTCTCTCTCTCTCTCTCTCTCTCTCTCTCTCTCTCTCTCTCTCTCTCTCTCTCTCTCTCTCTCTCTCTCTCTCTCTCTCTCTCTCTCTCTCTCTCTCTCTCTCTCTCTCTCTCTCTCTCTCTCTCTCTCTCTCTCTCTCTCTCTCTCTCTCTCTCTCTCTCTCTCTCTCTCTCTCTCTCTCTCTCTCTCTCTCTCTCTCTCTCTCTCTCTCTCTCTCTCTCTCTCTCTCTCTCTCTCTCTCTCTCTCTCTCTCTCTCTCTCTCTCTCTCTCTCTCTCTCTCTCTCTCTCTCTCTCTCTCTCTCTCTCTCTCCTCTCTCTCTCTCTCTCTCTCTCTCTCTCTCTCTCTCTCTCTCTCTCTCTCTCTCTCTCTCTCTCTCTCTCTCTCTCTCTCTCTCTCTCTCTCTCTCTCTCTCTCTCTCTCTCTCTCTCTCTCTCTCTCTCTCTCTCTCTCTCTCTCTCTCTCTCTCTCTCTCTCTCTCTCTCTCTCTCTCTCTCTCTCTCTCTCTCTCTCTCTCTCTCTCTCTCTCTCTCTCTCTCTCTCTCTCTCTCTCTCTCTCTCTCTCTCTCTCTCTCTCTCTCTCTCTCTCTCTCTCTCTCTCTCTCTCTCTCTCTCTCTCTCTCTCTCTCTCTCTCTCTCTCTCTCTCTCTCTCTCTCTCTCTCTCTCTCTCTCTCTCTCTCTCTCTCTCTCTCTCTCTCTCTCTCTCTCTCTCTCTCTCTCTCTCTCTCTCTCTCTCTCTCTCTCTCTCTCTCTCTCTCTCTCTCTCTCTCTCTCTCTCTCTCTCTCTCTCTCTCTCTCTCTCTCTCTCTCTCTCTCTCTCTCTCTCTCTCTCTCTCTCTCTCTCTCTCTCTCTCTCTCTCTCTCTCTCTCTCTCTCTCTCTCTCTCTCTCTCTCTCTCTCTCTCTCTCTCTCTCTCAACAACTAATCTTATACGGTGATAAGTCTACTGTACTATTCTTGTCTTATTCTTTAAAGTTTACTGACTGTTTCTATTAGATAATGAAGTTATTACAGAAAATAAGGGAAAGATGTAGCCATAATCACATATACAATATTAGTACACTACAGTATTTAATAGACAGTAGCCAAATTTGTCTGGAGTTATATAATAAATGGTGGTTGTAAACAAGTCAATACAGATGCACTTTCAGTGTACTGTACAGTTTCACACCACAGAGGCACAGATATGTGCATATAATGGATATTCTGTCCCTCAATTATACCAACTCCACAAAAACCAGATACTCAATAATACAGTACTGTATAGTATAATAGTTGACATTTTACCACGGACCACCCAGTTTCATTTAGTATAGTGGGCTAAGATTCACACATACATACCTAGCTCTGCATCACACTTACCATCTTGCCTACAGATATGCATCATGAAAATACATTTCATGTGTCACGTGCAGTAATTATACCACCAGAACACAAACAATTCCTTTTGTACCTTTCCTGGAGTCCCTGAGCTTTCGTGGGTCTTAACCATTATACCTTTCCTTTTCATTGAAGTCTGGCAAGCCAATAAAAATGCCTGGACAACACCAAAACTTTTTGAAGACTGGTTTGTGAATGATTTTTGTGTGGAGATAGAGCATTAGTGCCATGATTAACCTCTGTTTCAAGGCCTTTTTTCTCAAGAATGCTCTGAGTTGCCCTACATACCTAAAGGACTTGCAGCCTAATACCGTATTCAAGCTTATGCTTTCTAAAACCATTTTCCTAATTCAACCTATGACCTACCAAACCATCTGTTGAGGTGACATGAAAATGGACTGATAAGTACAATACTGTACAGTATACTGTACTCACTCATAATGATAACTCAATAAAATTTACTGTATTTAGTTATTAAATTGCAAATTAGTTCACTCGTATACATTAACACTCAATTTAGTAGTGAATCATCATCAAACGGGGAACTCTGGCTGGGAACCTGTTCCTCTCTTTTACTATGGAAACTTAATTCGATTTAAACAGTCAAGCTCCCAAAATTTGAACATCCAAAATCCAAAGGTCTCCAAAATTATTTGAATGGAAAAATCCCACCAATGTTGATTCACTTGCTAAAATCTGGAAAAGTGTTACTCACTTGTTTTTCAGGGTCAGCTTGGGTCACATTCAAACAGATGCCATCACCCAAAATGCGTGTGTTTGTATTGAAATTCATATTCATTTTTATATTACAGTATAAGAAATTTAATTCTTTTAATGGCATCCCTTAAGCAACTAAGTGATAGTGCTGAATGTAGTGCTGCAAAAATTAAACATGTTAAGGTTAAAGTGTTATAGAAATTTTAAATATTGATAAAGGTGTCTGTTCGCTTCCTTCAAGAGGAATATGGTGTTGGAAATACTGTACTGTACAACACTATATGACATTAAAAGGCAACCTGAGGAAATCTTGTCTTTTATAATGAGAGTGAAATCAATAAGAGGATTGCAGAGTGTAAATCACTTCATTCCCAACAAAAAATGAATTGGAAAAACTGGCTGGAACGTGTCAAGTGGCTGCTGCCTCCCTCCACACTCGTGTGAGGGTATGAGAGATCTTAATGTAAGTAAACGTGCAACAGTAAATATTTATACAGTATTTGAATACATTAACAAATTCAAAATATTTTTTCTATTCAAACATTACCATTAATGAGTATTTTTCTAATCAAACATTATCATTCATAAAATTACTTACACAAAGTGTATCATTTGCCTGGCATTGCAGTAACTTATTCTACAACTTCTACATCCCAGTTTTTATTTCATAACACTGGTTGTACTAATGAATTTTTATTATACAGTACAACAAAATTTTAATAAAACATTATTTAATTTTTGCTCCTAGTATATAACTATACACCTATACAGTACCTGTACTATATATACATAGAAGCTTGTGTATAAACAGTACGACAGTGGTTGCTGCCTGCCGCAGGTCAGTGATCAGCTGAGTGTTAACAAGTGAATGTTTGCCCCACATCTCACAAGATGGCAGCACGGGCATCACCCATTATATTTTATATAATGATTTTTTTAATGTACTGCTACTGTATTGCTGCTTTTGTAAATATTATATTTAATACTCTGGCTGCTGGACGTCATAATATTTTTAATTCGTTTCACCACACAGAAGAGACAGCTCTGAGGGCCCGAGATCCCACAGTATAGCGCACAAAGAGATGTTATTCCCTTTGTGTTTTGAACCTAATGAGAAGTTTTGTTTTTTGCACATTCTGTACGTAGGATGGTATGAGCATGTAAAATTAATAAATAAATATATAAATAAAAAATTACGTATATCTACCCAAAATTACAAGTTGAAAAATAAACATAACATAGAGTTTATTGGATGCAAATCTTGTCAAGTGAAGGAATGAAGAGAAATTTCCCCACTTGGCCTGGTAGTGAGAGGGTATAAATTATTGTTAATGTACAGTACTGTACAGTACTATACTGTACTATACTGTACAGTATTACCTATACTGTACTTATGAGGTTTAAAGGCAAACAATGCCTTTTACTTTCCATGGTACTGGTAATATTAATCAAGAAAATAATGGAATTTGGAGGGAATTGTATATAATCATATACATTTACAATGCGTATACAAAAAACAAGATAGTTCAGGTCCCCAAAATCCTTTTTTTTTTTCAGAAATAAAACACTGCTTGGTCTTAAGCCATTCAGATTTGGAAGTTTAACTATACTGTACCATTTTTGCTTATTAAGCATTGGCCTTCTCAATAAAAACAGTCCTCAGTAATAAGTGGAAAAAATTGTATCATAATTCAATGGCCTGCAGACATGAATTAAAATAAAAAAAATCTGGGGATTGGGTAACACCCACTGCATTTCAAAGCACACAAAATGGAGGAAGTACAAAGCATGAAGTCATGCAAAGCCTTGAATGAGCATTTGAAAATGAACGACAGATAAATAGAAAAAATAATAATGAAAGATACTGTAAAGTGTGATAAGTGGCAAACCACCTTTGTGTTAGTGTAGTGAGTGGAAATGTGGTCAGAACCATCAGTGTGTCACCAAGTCAATATGCTCTATTACCTACATCAAATCTACTATTTTTGGGGTAAATTTAAGTCAATTATTTTATGCTATATTTACCACTCAAATGTATAACAAACCTAAATATGAATCAGAGAGAGGAAAAATCCTTCAAACCAAAGAGCAGTTTCAAAACATGATAAGAAATTAGTGAAAAGTTCCTAATAGAGCTACCTTACTCCCAATCTCCTAACACCATGCTCCACCACAATGCACAAGGTTCATTTAAGAAATGCTACTACATTACTGTACATTAAACAGTAAATAAGATGTACTTTACCTAAGCGCTCCAATCTATCCCGTTCTGAGGCAATGAGGGCTGAAGAGACTGATGGGCTGGGTGCATACAATGCATGACTGTGTGCAAATCCTGAAGCCAAAGATACTGGCGGTGGAATACCAGGAAAGCGACCGCCACTCAGCCAATGTGGAGAAAGACCATGAGGATAGGGTGAATCAGGTGCATTCATAGGACGCTTCATCATTTCTTGCTTAATACGATCTGTTAACTCCCGTTCCCTCAATTCACGAAGTTCACGTTCCCTAGCTTCTAATTCTTGAGTTCCTGGTTGGTAGAGTGCTGCCATACTGCCATAGTGAAGCAGGTCTAGACCAGGTGGTGGTGCACCACCTAGTCCTGGAGGCAAACCTAAGCCAGGAGGACGACCTGCTCCAGGAGAGAGACCAGCAGGGGAACGTGCATAATCACTGAAAAAAGAAAACAAATTCATGTGACTCGTGATGCTGTTTAAAACTTCAACATCACGATATAAACACTGATTTTTATATACCACTGGGAAAGTCTCCTTCGTAGGGAATATAGTCACATATTTTGGTAAAGTATTTAATTCCTTTCCTATCTATTTGTTTTAGAAATTGTGCTGAAAGATGTTTAATCCCACAAGCTTTATTATTTTTCATTCTATGTATTCACAGCTGCCTCAACTTGTTTCCAAAATTGCTAGCCTGAACTTTACATTTGTTTACTATTTCCTCCATAGCACCATAATATAACACAACTCATTTCAGTAAATGTAGTTTTACACTTTTACTTTCTAGCTTCTAAACATTTATCCTCCTTATTCCTCCAATCACACACTACACTTTCTCCTCTCTCGACCCCACTGCCAACCAGTACAGTATTACTACCATATAATCACACTTCCAACATCTATATTCAAATATTACACAAACACTATAAAAGTATTAACACTACAGTAAAAAGGCGAAGCTAGGTTAAGTTAAGATACCGTTGAGACCAAACAAGATGACCTGTAATACATAACTATTGATGTACTGATAACATAATTACCCAAGTCTAGAGAGAGCTGGTGTGTCCACTGCATTCCTTTGCTGAATACGGTCATAGAGTGAGCTACCTTCACCTGAACTTGAGGGCTTGGGAGTCTCCCGTTTGTCTGGGGTGTTTGCTTTCCGCTGTAATTGTAAATAAATAAATAAATAAATTATCAAACATGCTACAGTAACCACAGAGAGAAAGTGGTCAGTATGGAAATTTGGGGGAAAAAATTTGACATGTGGTCAACCCTTCATTCTCAATGGAACTTTGACAGTGAATAGAGCATCACTGATACATACGAGTAACTATAACATATAATTATAGAAGAGAAGATATTACAGTACATGAAAAATAACCCCCAGTTTATTTCACCTGATAATTAAACATCTTAATGCTACATGCAGGGGGGGGGGGGCGGCAGGGGGTTATGATCATGAACATGACCCTCCATGAGACAAGTAAAATATAGTTCCTAAGAAGATGCTAAGTTGTTACCTAAAAAGACTGTTGATCAAACCTCCAACTCAGAGTATAATTTTACAGGGCCAAGATTTAAAAAAAAAAATTAAACAGTAGGGATGCACTGTATATACTTTCTTCATAGCATACTTTACAAACATCTGAGCCAACACAGCAGCTTCACAGGCTCACTGTCTCAGACCACTCCTAGAGTCACAAGAGTAGACTTCATAAGCTCAATCTTTTCTTCTTGGTCTGAACACAGGAACAATTCAGACCCTTAGCAACACCAAATAGGATGTGGATAATAGGGTTAACCCTGTCATCTCAATGGTACCAAGAGAAACTTAAATAAGAGTTCGTTAAAATGACAGTCTCCCTAATACAGTGACAGACAAGATTAAGATATCTTCACTGCAATACTTCCAAATATCTATATACAGTACAGTACATGAATACAATACCATACTGCAACAACCTCTTTTGGTGTTGCAGTTTCTATGTCCACTACTTACTACAGCTCCTCCCCGACTTACGATGGGGTTAGGGACCCAAATCCAGGTCGTAAGTCGAAATGGTTGTAAGTCGAAAATGCTTAAAAAATACAGAAAATCTAAAATGGGCGTCTCTTTTTCTTCTCAGCACCACAAAACTCTCACTTTTAAGCTTGCCAGCCATTTTAAAGTGAATTACAAAAAAATTTTTTGTCTGTGTACTGAAGTTGGGACTCGAAAATACGTAATTTGACAAAATTTTGGTACGACTGAGGCAAGTCGTAAGTGCGGGTGGTCGTAAGTCGAGTAGGTCGTAAGTCGGGGAGGAGCTGTATACTCTCTTTATCCTGAGCTGGCATATAATACTGTCAGTTTTGAATTTCAAATTATATCATCATCTTCAGTGTAAAGTCCTGAAGGAAAGGTAAATGTAAAAATTTATTCTAAACTAGGAAAATAACAACACAGCTTATCTAGTTATTTTTCTTCATATTGTACCTGTATTCTTTCTCTTTCTTCTCTTTCTCTTTCTCTTTCCGCTTGCTTTCTCAATCTTTCTTCTCGTTTTCGTGCTAACTGGCTATTAGGAACAGGTTTGAAGGTGAGATCAGTACGCGTACAAGAGTTGAAATCTCCTCGATTCCAGTGACGTAGGAAGCTGTGAATTAAAAAAGTAATAAATAATAATATGTGATTTTAGCAGTATTTTAAAGAATTTCTCACCGGTAATGCAAAGTATTTCACTCTAATTGTTGTGGATGCATGAAAAACTGCAAGCTATACGAGGAAGACAATGATGTGTTACAGCATTCAATTACATAGTCTCCCCTTCACTTCTTCTTTGACCTTGAGAGCTGACCTAAATTACTAATCAACTCCTAATCTCTAGCTCATGAACTGTTCATTGGTCATTTTTATATCAGTGATTAAAAGAAAAATACAGTTAAAAATTGCTGCCATTTGTGCAGGTTGGAACCTCATCACTCTTGATAGCTGATGGGTTTATCACACACCTTAAATATGCCAATACCTGTCCTGTACTGTACTCAACTTACATTGCACTCTCAGAACGATGAAATTCTGAGTCTTCTATCTTTGGTTCTGGGGAAGGTTCTCTGTGAGCAGGTAAGTCATCATCACCATCATCATGTTCTTCTCCTTCATGAACATTGCTGCCAGAGCTGTGGGTAGAAGCAGGACCCCCTGGATATGGTGGGTGACTGGGTGGTACTGTGGCCGGCAAGGCCTGAGTAGTAGGAGGCTGGCCAGCAGTAGGCGTGGGAGGCCGAATCAAATTTACAGGCATACTAGGAGGCTTAACAACTGGCCCAGTGTGAGCCGCTGGAGGTGTAGGCAACGTAGGAGGTCCTCCTGATGTTGATGGAACCAAACCGGGTGGCATTCCAGGTGGTAAACCAGGTGACATTCCTGGTAAACAAACAGCAGGTCCCGGAGGTCGCAAACCAGTTGGCAATGGTGGTGGCTGACTAGGTGGCAGCTTGCTTGGGGAGGAGTGATGTGGAGGAGCCCCAGAGCGACTTGTGAACACTGGTGGCCCCAAGTGAGCAGGTGTGTATGATAAAGGATTTGGTGACGGTTTAGTTGTAGTTGACGAGGTTGTTATAGTTGATGACCCCATTGTAAAAGATATAGGGTTTGGGGACACCCTACTAGAACTTCCTGATGAAGTAACAGGTATAGAAGGTCCAGTGCTATTAGGACGCTGTGAAGGGGACTGTGGCCGATGTGATGTAGAGCGAGGATGTCCAATGTAAGAATAATGCATGGGAAGGGGGTAACCATATGTATATGGGTAAGTATATCCTGGGATAGTGAGATGTGCAGGCAAGGATGATAGAGGTGTAGCAGTAGTAGCAACAGGAGCAAAACTTGAGCTTGATGGCTTGACATCTTGCCGATATTCTGATTTGAATTCTGCGATGATTTCTGGCCTATCACTCCTTTCTAATTTTATTTCAGGCTTTGGTTCTATTTTTCCAAATTCACTTTTAAAAACATCACTTGATATAGGAAGCGGTTCATGCTTTAGTTTCTCAGCTTTTGGTACAAGTTCTGGTTCTCGTTTTATTTGTTCAGGTTTTATGATTCCTGGGGGGGTAGAATATGGGGGCATAACTGGGCCTGGGATTAAAGGTGATCGTGATGGTACCGACTGAAGACTTGTTGGCGGAGTTCCTGTCACCCCAACGCTGTACACTGCAGGTGCAGGACTTGCTCTCGTAACAGACATCGTGGTGGAAGATGCTTGGGTAATTGGAGGAGGATTAGTCATTCCTGCTTGGGGATAGCCATGGACAGCAGATGGTCTTAAAGCAGGATGAATTCCAGGGGAAAATCTGACAACCTCAGCTTCTGATTTAATTTTAATTGGTTTTTCTTGTGTAACAGGTGGTGTAGAGAGCACACTATGTGGCACACTACTAACAGGGGCTCGTACTACAGACCCACGTTCCTCTATACTGGGTGTAGGTCGTACTGAACTAAACACAGCTGTGGTTGTGACTGGTGAGGTTGTAGCTAATCCAACTGATGCTACAGGAGCTACCACAGTGAGAGAGGTTGGCCTGGTGACACCAGGAGTAACAAGCTGAGGAACAGAAGGAACTCGGCTGGCAGTGACTATTGGCCTATTATGACCTTGGTTTATCATACTGCTAACAGTGGATAAAGTTGGAGCAGCAGTAATGACTGCCGATTTAAATTGGGAAACTACTGGAGACTGTGTTGATGACACAGGAGTGGTAAGGCGACCAATTACTTGTGCTTGTACTGCTGAGCCACTGTGGGCTGGGGGAGGCACTAAACTAGCAGTGGCTGCTGCTAGTGAAGACTGCACTACACTACTCCAAGTTGGTTGAACCTGAGAGGTGGTTGTTATTCCACATGTGGTGGTTACTGGTATAGTGGGTGGTGCAGGAGAGCCAGGCATGATTGGCCACACTGATCCTGAGGGCAGCAACTGTCTGGGCTTGGTTGGGGGAGCAGGAGATGGTGATGAAGCAGACAGGGGAATAAGGTGGGATGGAGTTACTGGTGGCGGTGATGCAGATACTGTTGAGGCAGGAGTAGAAGTCGGAGTCATAATGGGAATGGGAGTAGAAGTGGGAACTGTGGTGACAGCATGAATGGGCATGGGAGTAGTCATAGGAGTTGTGGTAGTGGTGGTGGTGGTAGTGGTGGTGGTGGTGGTAGTGGATGTGACCATTACAGTGGTAGTAATGGGCTGAGAAACTCCTGAAGTCACTGGTGCTTCTGACTGGGGAGGCGTAGCTGGATGAAGCTGGGGGGTTGGTGTAGATGGAGCTATTGGAGATGGGGAACTAGGTTCTCCACTACCACCATCACCTTCATCAGAACTTTCTCCTGAGCTAAGGTCAGACATCTGAAAAGAAGATAGCAATTTCCATTACAAACTATCTATCATCATAAAATTTCAACAATGGTAATAAAACAGTTTTCATATCAACAATTCTTCACCCTTATTATACTTTATTTTTTACCCTCCCAGCTCTAACTTTGTTTACCAAAGATGCAAATATGACATCTCAGGTCTCTCCTTCAACACTTCCACAACCTCACCATCCTCCTTCCTTGTATAAGATTTACTGTATACTTATATATTTGCAAATAAATCTTGATGCACATCAAAGTCTGTCATAAACATTATGAATACTTGTGGAAATATAAGCAAGTACAGTACGTACATCACCACCATTGCGTTTCCTCTTGTTTGGAGTGGAAGAGCCAGAAGCTTCGTCAGAACCAAGAGTACGTTTCACCCGTCGTACACCTTTGTCCTCCGTCTAAAACAAGATGACTTACACTCACATATGTAAAATACTTCACAATAAAAAATAAATACCGTATATACTCGTGTATAGTTCGAGTTTTTAAGACCAAATTTTTAGGCAAAAAATTGGGGTCGTCCTATACATGTGTAATAGTTTTGTTAGGTTGAATCCATGCATGATGGGAAGGGCGAGGAGCAACTTTTAGCTTCAGACATGAAAAATATTTACCATTTACTGCCAGTAAACAATGGAAACGTAAAATATGTACCAATTAGTAATGAAAAGTTGTGCATTTCCTTCAGCAAATGAAGCTCACCAACTTACAATAGGCTAAATTACCTTACAACGTGCTTTCAGTAGTCTATGTTGAAGTTCTTAGCACAGGCTAACTTATCATATCATATACGGTATCACAGTTCTCATTGATCTACAAAAATACCGGTAATAAAAACCTTTTCGATATTTCACAATTAATATAATACCCGGTAATCTACTTCAACCTCCTATTGTTTACAACGACGCATGACGCACCACCAGCTGTTGAGTATCAGCTAGACGGTACACGTGTTTTTCGAATCGTTTTCAGTTAAAAAACTGTTACATTACATGTATATGTTACCTTAACTGTGCCTGAATGAATATATTCTCGGAAATAAATAGTAGTTTTGCTGAAACGTGATGTATTTTAATGTAAAATAGGATAAAATACATGACGAAAACAAAAGATTTTACCTAACCTTCCGATGTTCAAGAGAAGTTACTCGTTTTTTTAATAGTTTTTGGTTAAAATATTGTTATATTACAATGGTATTCTATTCATACTGTGCTTGGTATAATACATTCACGGAAATGTAATATTTTTGCTGAAATGACGTACGTATTACAGTGGAAAGTGGGAGAAAATCGTGACGAAAACAATGACTTAAGCTTTCTTTCGTTCAAAAGATGTTACCGTAATCGCTTTTCGAATGGTTTAGTTAAAAAACTGTTGTATTACAATAATATTCCCTCCTAATTGACTTGAATAAATACTTGAATGGAAATATACAATATTTTTGTTGAAACTACCCGCGTTTCAGTGTAAAGTGTCGTACGTAATAATAAATTGTAAACAATTTGCCTTTGGCACTCGTGTTTCAGGCACGGCGAGCCTCAGTTTATAGGACGTAGAGTGTTTTTAGTGAAGGTTTTGTTGTTCCAATACCCTCAAAAACGTGGGTCGAACTATAAACGAGGAATATCGTAAATTAACGATTTCTTGGTCAAAAAATCAGGGTCGACCTATAAACGAGGGGGATTATAGACGAGTATATACGGTATCTAGTGAATTTCCACAAGTACACATCACTAAGAAAGATATTTTTAAATAAAAACTCTGCTAGTATTAATAAGATTTTTTTAAACATTGCATTTCAGTGTGTTTACATTCTAAAGCCAATATATCACACAAATATACTTCAGTATATAAACAACAACTTGAGAGAAAACCAGGACCATATAAAAAACAAGGAAGCACATAACTGAAGCTCATAACGCTCATTAATCCTTACCCAACAAGTGAACTCGGTATGGCAAACTGTCACTAGACACGAGCTTATGTTACAATAATAATAACAGCCGTGGGACTGCAAAGGGACTGGGTCTGAAATGGCTCCACCAACCTTCACACATTGAGATCACTCTGACAAATAAGACCCAAGCAATGAAAGAGTATTCTTAAGCACCCCAAACGACTAAAGATCCTGGAGCAACCAATGATGATCCACCATGCCAAAGGCTGGAGAGAGAGCCGGCAAGACCATGAGGGAGGACTTTCCTATGCAAGTGTTTATTACCAAATCGTTATGAATTTTACATCAGGCAGTTTCAGTTGAATGGTGTTTCCTATAGACTGACTGGACAAGGATAATCACCCCATTTTTGTCTAACAGAGGAAGTAACTGATCCAGCATAACACGCTCTATGATGTTTGATATCAATAAGAAATTGGAGACCGTATGATAATTTGACATATCTTCAGTATCAATACCAGATTTTTTAAAAGTCAATGCAATAAAGCCCGTTTCTCAGATCACATAAAATTACCCTCTGCAAAGCATTTATTTGTGGTTCTACAAATAAAGTCTACAGGATGTTCATAAGCAAGTGATATCTTAAGACATATTTAAAGGATCAAGACAAAAAAAATTCTTCAAGTCCTTGTTATAGCACATCTCTATTGTGCACATTATTTTCAGTCATAAATGGATCTTTTGTACGGTCCGAGTGTTAAAAGTTTTTTCTTGTTCCTCAATGTCCTCAATAAGTATATACGTTTACTATATAAAAGATTATACTCTTACAAATAAATAAAAAAGTCCAAGATTAATCCAAACCTTTTTAGGGGCTGGAGAGGCTGAAAGACGAGCTGCTCTTCTGTCAGGAGTTCGTCTATCTGGAGTCCTCCTGTCAGGTGTAGGACATTCATCAGTCATATCAGGAGTGTTAGCTCTGGAGCGCCTAGCAGCACGGTGACGAGTGCTTATTTCTTTGGATCGCGTGCGTGTTCTCATTCGTAAATCTTCATCTGAAGGGGTTGGCAGGGGTCGACCAGAACCAGGCGGCGGCTCACGAGGATTAGTGATTACTGGTAAGTCTCCGTATCTTTTAAAATGAATGCGACATTCATAACACAGCAACTGCTTATCTTTCCCTGCATGATGCCAATCACGGGATGCTGAAACATAAGGAATAAAAGTCATGATCAACTGTGTTATTCCAGACCAGTATAAACCTTAAAAGCCTCTCCAATGATATGAGACTAAGGTTTTAAAATCAATACCCAGAGCTGGCTCATATACACTTATGACATATGATCTTAGCATGGAACTTAAGGCCCAAATTCAGAACAGTGATTTGAAACTGCATGAAGGTTTAAACCAAGGATTGAGCGAAGATTGAAGATTTTGGGTATTCAAAACACTGGCTTGAGCCAACACAAAGATTCAAACCGGGTTTGAGATCGGAATTCTCAATGATCGCGTTAATCCAACCTGAAGGCAGGTTTGGCGGTCAATCCTTCAAGCAAGTCAACATGAATTTTGACAGCGAGCATGGTTTTCGGCAGTATCATCTAATTGGAAATTTTGTAGAGAAAAGACTGAAGGAAGATCGGCAGAATCCTATACTTTTTATGATGACACGTATTTTAAACAATGATATAGGTTCAGCAAGGGAGATTTCCTTGATATTTTCCGTGATATGGAGCATCTGCTTGACAGACCTGTTGGCTAGGGGTTCACCTCTACCTCCCATTCACCAGCTGATGATTGCTTTGAGATTCTTCGCAACGAATAGTTTCCAAGTAAGAAAGATTCTGGCTACTGAAAGAGTTATGGTAATGTGTTCCAACTCTTTAGTGTTTGGGATTCATGAAGATCAAGAGAGTAACTGTAGAGTGCACTAAAGCTTCTTTATTTTGAATGTTTTTCTTAAGGAAAACTATTTTGATGTATTTTCAATATAAATGAAACTGCTGAATGCATTTTGATTTTAATGTATTAATAAAGGAAAGTCTTTTCTTAACATTACTAATCAGGGAAAATGTGGGGTTAAAAGAACAGAAAGAAACCTTACCTAACCAAACATGGCCAGGTAACTACACCTTGCACTGATTCATCTTGCTTTGGTAATGAATAATGACACCTGTCCCGGAATATATCTATAATTTGTATGTAATTGTTCTTCCTCTATGAATTTTTTTGTTATCATATAACAACACAGCCACGTTGTAACACAGTACCATAAATCATTATAATTTGATCGCAATTTGACTGTACACTGTAATTATAGTAATAAAAGTAACTTTTGATGTGCAAGGAGAGATTTCTCCTCCTCCGTAAAAACGTGTCGAGTCATAATTGCCGCCATAATCTTGTAAACATTACTCTTGATGGCGACTGGCTGTCATAATGGTGTAGATGAAAAGTGATTGGCTGGGATTTGAGTGTTCGAATCCTTGCTTGTAAATGAAGAAAATGCAACAGATTTCCAGATCCAGGGTTCAAGCCAATGTTCTGAATATGGGTAATCCACTGCAGGAAATCTCGGCTCTTGGAATCCTGATTCGCACGCCTGAGCCGAGCTCAAATCCCAGGCTCGAACTACCGCAACTGAATTCGGGCCTAAGAGCTTCTCAATGTCTTATGACCAACAAATATTTCTATATATCACAAGACCGTCTTCAGGCATGTGTAAAAATTTTGTCAAGTACTGTATATTGAGCTGCCAGTCCTACAATTAATAAGTAATACCAAACAATCTTTAAGCAATAATAATAATAATAATAATAATAATAATAATAATAATAATAATAATAATAATAATACGTAATAATAACTAATTTCACTCCCACAAATCCTCTCCAGTTATACTGCATAGTACTGTATTGTAGTCAGAAACCAAGAGCCAACACAGACGCCCTTTTTGTATGGCATCTCATCCCAATTCCTCTCATAAACCACTCTATATTGTACAATGTTCTACATCATTCATCCACACTGCTGCTTCCTAAATGCCCATTCCTCTTACCCTTCACCCTATCCATCCATCTCCTTGGTTTCCGCTCTCCCTTCTATCATCCACCATTAAACTCTAAACTTCATGTTCCTTCTACTAATCTTCTACTTCCCACTCTCAATAAGGCCATTCCTCCTCACCAAACCCCAATCACTTCTCTGTTTGACACGTCTTTAACTTCCGTATTTACTTATTTCTCTCTAGTATTTTTCACTTCTAATTTGCTTCAGTTGCAACATTGGCTAAACATTTCTCCTGTACATTCCATTCTTTGCCTTTTGTGATAGTTCTAATGTGATTCAATTCATCACTCCCTTTTCCATTTATACTCACTTCCACTCCTTGAGCACTAAATGACTCAAACTGTTACATCATCAGATTTAATATATACAAATCAATAAAGCCATTCCCAGATACCTGAAAAGATCTCACTTACTCCCTTCTATCCTCATCCCTGTCAAATACTAAGCTGTCCCTTTCAGTTAGAATGGCTTCAAAACTCACAAGTAGTGTAGCAGTGCCGACAATGATAACCCTGGCGATCTTTGGAATCTGAATCATCGGAATCATCATCTTTTTCTGAAGCTGAAGATGGATCAAGTGGGTCACTAGGACCAGTGTTTCGCTGAGCTCGCGGAGTTCTAATCCTTCTCAATACATTCTGACGGCGGTGTCGACGGTGTGGCCTGTGACCAGCTGCTGCCGGTGTCTTCTTCCAAAGGTAGTAAAATGACACCAAGTCACTCTGAAAGCATAATTGTATATAAAAACCACAATTATCCTACATTGTTACATTTAGGAAAAGTAAGGCAATTTTCTTAAACTTCATAGTTCTTCGTGGGATATCAATGGAATACGTACTAATGCCGCAAACACACTGAAATATATTCAAGCAATGCCCGCCTTGTATGGATGTTAATAATAAAGCTACCAGGAAGTCCTAGAATTGAAATTCTGCAATTTATATGGTGAAAGAAAGATGTGTAGTGAGGGAGCTCCACTACTGCAATGAGTGAAAATAATTATCAAGAAGGCATTTAGATAACACTGGTGACAAACAGTGAGGCAATAAGAGCACTATAGTAATCTCTCCATTAGCCAGAATCTTCAATCCCGGAACTCTCCAGTAGCGGGGCTTCTTTTTTTTCTTTTTTTTGCATTCCGAGAAATTCAGGGAAAAATTTATCCATTCCAGGTATCTGAAAAAGTTTCCAAGGATTGCAACATGCACAATTCCCAAAAATTCTGAGAAAATCTCTCCATTCTGGGCATTAAAACAAATTTCCGAGAGACTGCATCATGTTTCCAATGTGGGAACGCATCTACAGTATTATGGAACTGAGCCTGAAGGAAAAAATACATCTTCAATCAGCTTCTTATGTACTGTATCTGCCCTGCAGGGATACCCATACAGTCACCACTTCTCTCCATTTGCTAAGTGAGCCTCCCAAGGAGCTAGGGTTACCTCCTTCACAATAAAACCTTCTTTAGTAGGGAGATACAGGAGGTTCAGTACCCCACTGAGGGAGAGACAACTTGGGTGTCATGTACAGTTGCGAAATGTGTTCCTACATCTCCTGTGGTAACCCCGAGTCTCCACACGGCAAAGTCACAGTAGTAGTATCACTATTTATGAATGAATGGGTATTGGTTGTGCAGCGACGGACATGACTGGTGGATAAGGTTTGCTATAGGTCATATCGGTTGGGCGTTTGGAGACACGAGTTACCACAGGGGGCGTAGGAACTGTACACACAGAAAAAAATAAAAAATAAAATAAAATAAATAAAAAAATATACATTTTTAAATGATCAATATGACTCGTGGTGTCTTGGTTGGGTTGTTACAATCCCCTTTCTGTGTTGTCATATTCTTCACACAAAAATTTAATGAGCAACAATATCACTGACAATTGGGAAATAAAATTACTCGGTACCTTTGTACGTACAGTAGTTGTGGAGTTGAGTATTGGCTTAACAAGAAAAGTGTCCTAGGTTCTATCCCAATTGGGAGAGAAGAACTGGGTTACTTCCTTGTACATGACCCCTTACACATTCAGCAATAACAACATTCCACTAACAGTGGATCAGAACATGTCCAGCTAACATTCATCACAGTTTATATCTATAAAATATGGGATAGCAAAACTTCAGGCAAAATTCAGTACAGTACTGTATTGCTGACTAGAGAAAAGAGAGGTTGTACATATACCTGTACTAAAGGAATCTATGAATGGAAATTAAAGGGTTGCAACTTTATTTATCAATTCTATGAGATGAGCAAACACCTCACAAAGTTACTTACTGTTTCCTTGTGTGGCAGCAAGTCTTTTCGTATTCGGAAGAAATTTTTCCCATACTGCCGTAATCCCTTCATAAAACGTTTCTGGGGATCAGAAACAATTGCATGATCTTTTAAATCTAAGCAATACTCATTATAATCCAAAACAACAAAAACTATAAACAAAAAGTGATAGAGTAAGTTCTCCTATAACGTGTGTTTTCATAGCATGATTTGGTTATAATATGATAAATGTACAGTACAGTAATAGGGAACACATTTTACAGAACATGGATGCTGGATGCAATTTGGATATAACGTGATTGAGTAAATGGAACTATGTCACTCGAGTAGGAATAAGCAGTTATGCGGCCACCTTGGTGTCGCTTCATACAAGGCGGGATGCGCCACCCTGCAGTCTTTGTTTATCATCCATGGAGCATTAGACGTCTGTTATCACGGACTGTGCTTTATCTTAGTACAACTACTGTGCAGTATTAACTTTATTGCTTTTATTTACAATGCTTGACAAGGATGTGAAGCATTCTGGTAGTGGAAGTGAAGTAAAACGAAGAAAAACTATAACTCTCGAACAAAAATTAGCTGGGGTAAAATGGTATGAACCTTTGCCTCCTCCTCCACTACTCGTCTCAAACAACCATCCTCTCTCCTTGCAGTGAGCGTTAAAACATTCTTTTAGGTTTATTTACGTTTCTTATGGTAAAAAAAAATATATACAGTATTTAAAAAGGTTTTATCATTAAAAGCTGTTAAGAGAGTCACACTCTACTACATATTATTTCATAATTTTTGGTCTGCACCCTCCTTCACGGCTCTGTTTTCTATCGTGAAGAACATACACTAACACACCATAACAAGCATGTTTCCCCTTTTCATGGTTTTCTTCTATTAATGAATGATATATCATACTGAAACACAGTTAATATAAAAAGAACACACAAAAACTAACAGTACTGAGTCCCATCGTCCCATGTTGGTGTTCTTTACCCCACTACCCCCAATGGTTACTACAACGCGTTTTTCTATTACGAGGTGTTTTTCAAGAACGCTACTACTGTACCACGTTAGAGGAGAACTAACTGTATTCTTCATATTCAGAAGGGGATCTATCTTTCCAAGTATCATTTCTAGTTATGCTTACATTTCCAGAAGTACTGCACAGCATCCTCCAAATACTGTTTGTCATCCATATCATCTCTCAAGTAATGCTTCCAATCCTATTAAAGCCAATGTCTTTGTAACTTCATTTCTCTTGCACTTTCATCTCATCATACATACATGTGGTTCCTTCTCATGCCTCCAGTACACTTCACCCTCACCCTCACAAGTCATGTCAACACCATACAGTACAGCACAGTCTCTTCTGGAAATATTGTCTTAATTTTTTTTTAATTATCTTTTAATTTTCATATTCACATCTTATACCTCTAACCTTCATGAATCCTGATCAATTTGTATAAAGTCTATGCATCAAGTTTGGTTGTAATGAGCCCAAAAAACAGAAGTTAATATGTGGACACCATTGCTCTACAGAGATAGACAAACAGGATCTAAATCTACGTCCCTCACACCATCACAACCTGCATGGGGGGTCCTTACGCCCGGAGTTTTAATCAACCTCTTCCGTGACGAGGGTCGTCTTGTTTCTACCCGAGTTTAAAAAAATGAGTCATGAAGGACACCGCACTACAGTGCTTGATGGGGAGGTGTGGTAGTAAAATTAACAACTTACAGGGTAATTCCAATATTTAATTAATTTTATTGGAATTAGTTAATTTTACTACCATCTCCCCATCAAGCACTGTAGTGCGATGTCCTTCATGACTCATTTTTTTAAACTCGGGTAGAAACAAGACGACCCTCGTCACGGAAGAGGTTGATTAAAACTCCGGCAGTTAGTCTTATACTGTACTTACTCTTTCCTCTTCTGACCACTTCTTCTCAATTCCATCAGGGACAGGGCACTTAACAAGAGCTTGAAGAGCTTTACCATGATCGTAGTCACTATTGTGAAGCTGGAAAAAGAAAATATAACGTATCTAAGCTCAAAATATATTCTTTCTCTTCCTGTTAATGAATGAAATAATAAGAGCATAACTATATACAGTATACAGGGAAACCTCTATGTAATGGACTTTTCTCTCCTCAATATAACGGACTTTCATAATTATATAGTTCTTTAGATGAAGGTTTCACATCTAACGGCTTGATATAATGGATTTCCTCTCCATATAGTCCGTTAAATTGAGGTCTCACTGTACTGAGAAAAGATTTTTGAGGAAACAATCTGGACAACAGTTTTAAATGCTTATCAAATTGTTACCTTTGTTCTCTCTAAAACTAACTGAACTAAGTTAGCCTTGTCATGTTGACAATTCCCATTCCTCACAAACAAGGATGAAACTCGAAATGTATTTTTTAATATCAATCACACCAACTCAACATATATCTAGTAAATTTCTATAAACACATTAATAATGCCACAAACAATTTCTGAAGAGCTCTAATTGTTAATTTAGTAATTAAATAACTTCTAGTAGCTGCTGACCCAACACTAAACAACTACACTTCTATGTAAACTCTTTCCTATTATTGCACTGTGTGGCCAAAATGAAGAGCAGCACACACTCATCTCCTTACACAGAGGAAACATGGAAATCAAATACTTTTTGTTTTCTTATATGACAATACAAGGAAATTCTATATGAATAAATGGGGAGTTAAAACTTCCTTATGCAAGATAAATTCCTCGCCTGAATATGAATGATTATATAATGTACGCTCATGAGTATAAAATATTCAGAAGATAATTTATATTGTACTGTACTGTTACACACTTGAGGATAACAAATGAAACAATTTGATCTACTCTTATATTGAACTTTTATAAATGTTACCTAAAAATAATACTGAATTTACCATTTCTAATGCATTAATAGTTGTATCATCCTTGGCAGCGGCATTACATCCATCAGTGGTGGACCCACCATCACAAAGACCAGCAAACGCAGCCATAGAGCGGGCAGCTCGCAGGTACATGAGGAGGTCAGTATCTCTTGAGGCACCTGGAATCCAGCGCTGCTCCTCCCAATCTGCACACACCTCTGGCCTTTCTTCAATTATTAAATTACCTCTGAAGTAAAGATATTCAAATTAATGGTTCGAAATATGGAGGAACAGAATTACAATAATCAAGTCTGAAGTTAACAATTCATTCAAATTTATTTTCCACAAGGGTACACGAAGAATATATTAAACACTAGGCCACAATGGTAAAAATTACTTACATATATACAATATATACTGTTACTTTTACTACTATATTTCATTTTGTTTCTTCTTACACTCACTGTACTTCATAAATAGCAAATTTTCCTTTCAAAATAAATAATTCTTCAGGTTTAAGGAAAATTCCCACCCATTGTTTTACCATTCCCATGACTTCCTTTATAACTGGATATTTCCTTGTTCCTCTCATTATGTCCGAATAAAATCCCAAAAGTTATGTCAGCAACTTCTGGCTCTGTACTTTTAAGGGTAATACTGGGCTTAGATCTCTTTCAAAACTTCTGCTGCAGTGCTAGACTCAGGAAATCCCAACTTAATTCACTTCATTTGTAACTTAAACTGTATCGGGTAACATTGTACCCCAAAAATTAACCCTTTTGTTATAATAATTAGCTGGAGAGTTTAATCTCAACTTGTGTTATTGTGATGGGTTTTATCCAACCGCATATCAACATTTATGTAAACATGTGCTTTTTGTACCATACATGGCCATGTAACTGTTTTCTCTCTCTCCAGCCAGAGGCAATCTCATGATAAAATCAATCATATACTGTCCACTCAGACATAACTGCACGAAGATGTCCAACATAAATTTATTCAACTTGCTATTTAATCTATAGTTAGAAAGTGAAGCCATCAAAATTTTCCCACTGACTATGCTAATTTCATGGCTAAAACTTTATTTGTAATACAAAAAGTTCTACAAACAATTCCCATTAGGCTCACATCATTATCATTCCTATTGTCCCCCATATTTACTGATCATTTACCTGTATTCAGGAAGCTTGGCCTGATGTGATGGACCTACACGAATTTCACCCTGTGTTGAAGCTAATCTGCGAGTCTCGGGATTATATCTGAAGAAGAAATAATTATTTTAGTAATTTAACTCAAAACAACTTTTCCAATGGAGGTGGTATTAGTATCTAAATTAAAGTCGTGCTGTGATAAAAATATTAGGGGAAAATTTTGTGCATAGTAAAAGGTAAGTATGAATGGTATTTAAGTGAAATGCCATCCAATTAAAGGCACATGAAGACAGTACATACAGAATTTTATATTTCACTCAACTAAAACACATTCTTTAATAACTCTCACAACTGTACATCTATTTCCTTAGTAGTCAATCTACAACCTTACAACAGAGAAACCAAAACACAACATGCAATGATATAACAAAAACTTAAGCCTTAAGAAACCATCAAATTGCAGAATTTCAATATGTTGCCTACAAGTTCAGGCTGTGTTGGTGATCCATGGTGACAACTTACACCACATGACTAAGGTTCATATTTTATAATCATCTTATACAATGAGTACTGTACTATAGCCTAAAACTTAAATTTTAAAGTGAAAATTTGGTGTCGCCTTATACTGTACACCAAGTCATGCCAATATACACTATATACCATATAATGTAAAAAAAACCAGAGCCTTTGGCACTGAATTATTCCTCCTACCTCCCCCACAGTATACTTTAATAATGATGAAAGTTTCATAACATTTTTAAAAATTGCTCAAGCCATTCATCATTTACATCTTTTAATAGTCTTCATCCTAGAATCTTTCATTCTTTTCCTTTTCTGCTAAAAATCTAAACAGTGCTTGAAGCCACTAATCCCTTCATGTGCATACTGTACTTTGCACAAGGATGGCCTTCATTAATGAGAATTCAAGAAAACTCAATTAACAGGTTTTTCATATATGGTTCTCCACAGTTCCTTTTGTTAAATACTACTTTACTACACCACTATTACCATGTGATGAAAATTAATCTATACAGTACAGTAAACACCTTGAGTACTGGACCACCTGAGTCACAACGTGTCTCAATAATGATACGAATCTCGGAAAAAAATGATTTTAAAATTAAAAGAAATATATGTTGCGGGTTACTGTTAATGTCGTGCAGTGAGGCGGTGTGGAGTACGTGATCACTCCTGCATCACAACAACAAAGCTGCGCTGTACTCAGTCTATGTGTGGTTATTATAAAACTGAAAAAGAAATATGAAGAGCAAGAGTGTGAACAGTATTCTGTGTGGGAGGTGACTGTATGTATGAATGTGTCACGCTCTCCCCAATGTGACGTCACGGCATACATGGCAGCCACGTGCCTCTCAAGTCAACTGGCTAGCTGTTGTTTTGAACAGGTGTGCCACCCTGCTGATCTGGACGTCGTAGTAAGAATTCTGATTAACGACATCCCTGTGGCTTAATTAGTTCCTGTACTCAAGGTTTTTACTGTATGTACTTCTCTTAAAAGCTAGACATCAAAGCACTAAAAATAACTGTTATCTCACCCAAGGATGTAAAAGAAAGCATTATCTTCAGGATTAAAATCCCTAACAGAATGAATATCGGAATAATGGTCCACACGGCACAAGCCCCGAAGAACAGACACAGGATAGGTATCTGTAGCATCAGAGATGAAAAGTTCTCTGGATTTTATTACTGGATCATCTGTCACAAGTGATTTGTTGTCTGAAAGAAAAATCTAAGTAAGACTTCTTACAAATTCACATTCACTTGAAATAAATCTAGAATTAGGGAGGAAATTGCAATTTCCTTCCTAATTCTAGATTTATCTACAATATTTGAATATAGTAAAACTTCAAATATTGAAACTCTCACTAAGAACACTACTGTACTGTACTGATATGACAGATTCATGAGAAAAATAAATATTTTGTAAACAATTAGGCTATTAAAGAATAAAATAGAAAAATATCCTTACCTACCAATACAATAACTACTATACAGTACTGTAATCAATGAAAACAATCCTGACAGCAAACTGGAGATATCAACGATGGATTTGTTAACAAATATTATGTATACGAAAGATGAAAGACTTGAAGGTATTGATGTTATTAGCTGGTAACCCAGATACCGCCTCTTAAAATTTATGGAAAATTTGGAAGTATGTTGAGAAGAGGCTGATAAAGACCATCTACTATACAACTGAAGGCAAAAAGGGAAGCATTTTATTTGGTAAAAGATAGAGAGAAGCAGTGAACCTATTGCTGAAGCTGGAAGTACTTCAAGATAGTATGGTACCAACACAATTAATAAGCATTGGGTATAATAATCTCACATGCTGTACACTCAATTGGCTAAGCGAGTCTGAATGCCCACTTCATCCAATCACAGTAAAATTGTGTTGATCATTTGAGAAGGTTGTGAGGTGTGAGGCATCTGATAATCAATACCATGCATTTGGTTGTTATTTATATGACTGTGCTTCAACAACTAAGGTCTTTAAGCACATACTCTAAGTGGGTTAAGACACCAGTCAACAAACCTTTCAAAATTATGGAAATAAAGTTCAGTATAAGACTACTATAATGAAAGTAATGTGTGTGTGGGTTCATGAACAAGTGGTGCAGTCTGTTCTTAGGTTTATTGACTTGATAAAAAACATAGATGAGTATTTTGAAATGGGAGAAGTACGATCAGACCTTACTGAGAGAAACGGGAAGGTAGCAAGTATAAAAAATTCATAATACAGTTATTGAGAGGAATGATTTACAATAGAAGAGAACAAGCAGGTACAATTTTAATATCATACGGTCATGCTACAGTTCACTTCTGAATAATACAACACAAGTGATGTAGTGAGGCACCACCCGGCTTACTATTCTCTGTGTTGCGATCCTGGGCCAGTCGTTGGTAAACAGTTTCTGGCACTTCTGAAGGTCTATAGAACCACTTAATGTTAACCATTAAAGTGTCTCTTTTACTCTGTGGAAGTAAACATAATATATAGCACCAGTTCAGTTTATCATCATGACTTAATGTTTAAAATATATGGTACTGTAGCTCTAGTTCAGCTTCTTATCATTAAATTATTTTAAAACTGCAAATAGTTCTACATTACCTTCTTATTTTATAACTTAAATAACAGGTAAAACATTGTGGCAGTCTCAGTGCTGTAGTATTTTCAATGGCAAGAATTTGTGTTTACAACAGTGGCAGTAGCTATGCAGAAGATAAGAGCACACACATTTAAGAATGTTTGAGAAAGGGTAGAAAATAAGCTAGGAACAACAAACACCTCATTTCAACCCTCAGTAACTGTTATACATCAGCATTTATTACTCTTACTCCTAGAACCCAACCATCGAGAACGTAAATAAAAATAAACAGTACAAAACTAAAAAAAATACACATCTAATACAACTGTATATCAAAGCTGGACACCTAGTTCCGTGCAGCTCTTCAGCCAACACAGCTTTCCCTCGACTTACACGACAGATGCTTTCTTGAAGATGTATTGTACATGTAACTTATATCACGTAACTCGAAACCACTTTTCCTTTATAGATAATGTATGTGCAATAAATGGAACCTGCATATTTACTGAACAACTCTTGTCTTTATAAATTTAATTATCTTTTCTAATTACTTTTAAACCAGAAAAAAACATCAAATAGAGAACACTGCACGTAAAACAAATTAAAAGCACTGACAATGAAAGAAATCTTAGCTCTAAATTGTGCTGGAACTTGCTTGAGAAGGCTGGCTGGTGAAGGGAGAGGAATGGAGGAGTTATTGGGGAGGAGGGGTCATCTACCCTGTAAGTCAGGTGATGAAGATGATGGGGCAGGTGGGAACGTTTAACCCCTTCACTATGGGGATGCAACTTTCAGTACTTCATTTGGCTAATGCGAGACGATTTTATTAAACACAGAGGAGACCCTGTACACAAGACATTAATGTCAGACATACCTGTACGCTAACCACATTCGTAAAGTTTCAAAACATCTAATTTCATTTTTAAGTGACAGTTTTTCTTTGTTCTTGCCATCTTAAGCATTTTACTAATTTTTTAGAACAGTTACAAAGTTTGAAAGCAATAAAAAACATGTTCCACAGACAAAAGTAGCGCAGTACCACATCTTACAATGACAAAACAAAGACTGAATGAGTGGGCTAACATTAAACTTCCCAAGCTGCACATGTGCATTGCGAGACTCTATGTGTATTGCGTTGGTGATCAAGGTAACTAAGAAAGTGCACATAGGCTGAGGAGACTATTTTTCTCGTTTACTGTTCAATGTTAAATTGCAGTAAGGCAAACTGATGCAAGTCGAGGATTAACTGCACTACAATAACTGATAAGATATAAAGCATGCATGCCCAAATACAGTACAAACATTCAACACAAATATAAGTCTTTGTTTTCCTCACCCTGCGAAATTCTTGTATTGAGCATATGAAAAACGGCTGATCAGCACGCTGGCTCTCAATATATACAGAATCTGGAAAAGAGCAAAAATATTAAGTCAAGTCTAGCCAACTGTTTTGTCACACAAAAGTTGTATTTTTTTAACTACCGTTAGTACAGTACAGTACAGGTAGTACAGTACAGTATCGAATCTCTTCAATTAAGAATAATTCTTTCAGCTTCACTTTTTTATAATAAAACTTCAAATGAAAGATATCTGAGACAAAGAGCATTCAAACAATTTTCTTTTCTTCAAATTAAATCTTCACTACACGGAAGCCATATTTAATATATTATTTGGATAATGCCAGACAATTTTATTCAGCTCAGAGGCAACCACAAGGGGTTAGAAATAATTGTTAAATATCATGAATCAAACCAAATTTATAAAATTCCTACCCCCTGGTCTATATAAAGTAGCATCATCGGTACAGAGGTATGAAACATATTCTCCATTTGGTGCTCGAAATGCTTGACCTCTTACTGGCTGCTTCTTACCAACAACTGCTGTCATAACCTGAAAATAGTTTAAAAATCCATAATGATAAACCTGATCTAAAGACTTGGTTTCCAAATTTTCAGAAAGATCAGTACAAACTTCCTAAACACATATTGTTTAAAGGAATTCAAAATCAATATGGTAATGCTTTTAGCCACACAGATACACTATAATTTTTCAACTTTACAAAAATACACAAACTCAAATTCCAAAAGTGAAAGCTTGATTGATCCTGAAGCTCATTTCATAGCTGAGGTAACAGGGGAATTAACTTACCTAATTGTGCCCAACAATACCTATGGGATTTGAATTTTAAAACCCAGGGAACCCTAAACATCATAGTGGCCCACCCTGAACATATACAGCTCCTCCCGACTTACGACGGGGTTAAGGACCCAAATCCAGGTCGTAAGTCAAAAATGCTTAAATAATACATATAAAATCTAAAATAGGTGTCTCTTTTTCTTCTCAGCACCACAAAACTCTCACTTTAAGCTTACCAGCCATTTTACAGTGAATTACAAACGAAAATTTTGTCAGTACACAGCGCAAACACTGACGTTGGGACTCGAAAATACGTAATTTGACAAAATTTTGGTACAACTGAGGCGGTTGTATGTCCGGGTGGTCATAAGTCGAGTAGGTCGTAAGTCAGGGAGGAGCTGTACTTCTGCACCTCACTCCCTCACCTCTCTCTCATACTGTAGTTCAGGGTCTACCATTATACTATTCCTTCTTACCTCTTCAATGACAGTTCCATCTGGTCCCTTTGGTCCCCCAGGCACTAAGACCCCACTTGGGGGAATCGAGGCAGTAGATGAATTGGAATTAGAATTTGAGGAAGATGCAGATGAGGGGGGTGGATTGCTGGAGTTGCCACACCCCCCTCCATGCTCCCCTTCCTCCACCAGCTTGCCTCTGTCAGTGGTTGTCATATTTCCCCTAAAACTCCCTCATCTGTAACCAAAAATTACCAAATTTGAATAGAAGACTATTTGCAGTATACAGCACTAGGCCTCATCCTGTCAACAAAAATACCGTTTGTTTTTATTGAGACAAGGAGAGAACAGTTCTGTATAACATATCATGGCCACTCTTTGCTAGGGCTCCACATAACTGTGATAATCTACCGTACAGTCCTGTACAGTATAACAAAATAAAGATAAATAAACCAGAATTAACACATGAATTTTCTCAAACATACTTCTGACAAATTAGATGAGTTATTGATAAACTTATGGGATACACTGGACATATAAAGTTTCCTCCAGAGGTACTTGCTATGCAAAAGGTTGAACCATTGCCCTAAGGCCACTCTGTCTCACATAGCTTGACTTGCTGATGAATTCCTCACTCATGCTAGTTGGTTTTTATCAGATATTATCATCAGTATTACACCAAACAAAGGCTGTTTGATGGAGCCTAACCTAAATCAGTAAGTTATTTCTTCTTCTTCAATCCCACTTAACATAAACCATTGTCTTTAAACCGATCTCTTTACTGAAGAAGCACTCTCCTACTAACAAAATATAGTCATAATTATCAGATTTACTGCAATACTTTTCTTATTTCAAATCAAATACAGTATTAGGAAATATTTACTGTTAAATAATTTTTTACTTTACTCCTGTACTGCACTGATGGTGTTATCACTGTGTAAATGGTACAACAAATACTGAACTGTACTGGACTCTACCTAACTTATGTCTGAAGTTATGTAGATTATATACTACAGTATAGTATCTAATATCTGTTTATTTTATGAAAATCCACTTTAAAATAAATATAAAACATTCCAATGAATAATAAGCACATTTTAAGATTATCCTTACACATTCAGTATGGATTTTCAAGACTTGCAGTTATTTATGAAGCAATGAGTACACATACAAGTGGCCATTTCTATTTGTTGTTCTAGCTAGGTCTTTTACTTTCACTTTCTTACACTTAGAAGAAAAAGAATTCATTTACCATGAATAAGGCTCATCTGGTCCATGCAGTCAGGGGATCTCCAAGTTTTAAAACTGGTACAGTAGTGGTGGTGGTGGTGGTGGTGGAGCAGGAGGGAGAAGGAATTTGGGGGATTATGCTTATAGGATTGACCAGTGTAAAAAAACAGTACCATACCATAAAGCATAATCAATTAGTACTGTAAAGATTAATAAAATTCCCTTCTAAAATACATCATACCTGTATATTTCTGTGGTGAAAGGAAATAGTTACAACCAAAAAAGTCGAAATTTTAGCAAGGATTTCTTTTTATTTAAACATCATAAGCAATTTAGGATGGCTTAGGTTGGGTTAGGTTTTGAATGTTTACTTTGGTCATGTCACATTTTGACTTTAAAATGAATTTTTAATCCTTTTTAATAGAAAATTGCCTCTAGTTATACAGTACAATGTTTTGTTTTATTTTTTACTTTTTTGTCAATTTTTGTGACTTCTTCCTACATTTGGTAAATGACCCTCTTCCCCTTGTCATTATACAGTATATTATTATGTGTACCACTTATGTCATTTGTATATTTTCAGCTTATAACTGCTGTATTTATTAATAAACTATTTATTGTCATTACCTAACAGTGGTACCATTACTAGTCTTGTCTAAAATGTAATTTTTTCAAGTTGGGCACTACTTCTGCATGCTGCTCATACTCTGTTGATATTAAGACAAACCATAAAGAATTCAAATAAATGGAGGAAAATGTCTCAGGAGAAAGGGGAAAGGGTCATTTTAACAAGGAATTTCTTTCCAGTTACAGTAAAGAAGTGAAATTAGCAAGGAGTGAGCACAAATGTTATCTTTTAAGCTTAGCTATGGAATATTTTTACAATTATTGGAAAGGGGCTGTTCTTATACTGATCAATACATGGTTATATGGGCTGGATGCAGTTGTCGAACAGCAATTGCAGATGGAGGATCTCTGGTGGTAGCAAGAGGTGGCAGGAATGATATAGTACCTGCATCCTCAAACTGACAGATGAGGTCAAATGATTATCAGTGTGCTAAAGAGGGTCACCGTACTGAACACCTTTTGACATGTGGTGTAAGGGGGGAGAAAATAGTCTTGCATGCCCTCTTCTGCACTCTTAGGAGACCTCATTGTGTAGCATTTAAGGAAGACAACCTGACTGGGAAAGCATAGGTGAATTTACAAAGTATGAATGTTGTGTAAACATTCGAGAACGCAGACAAGGGAACTCCGAGGGACCTGAGACACCGGAGGGTGTGGAGATGACAGCAGGAAGATTTGATGTTTGTACTGATGTGTACTTTGCAGTTCAGTTTGTTGTCTATAGTGATGCCAAGGATCATACAACATATACCATTACAGTACTGGACTTTTAACCCAAATATATTTTGTGGACATTTTCACTTCCTGCATCAAATAAGCCTAAATCATGGTAAATGAAACACCTTTCTCTTAAAAATGTGAAACAAAAATCAAGAAATAAAACCATGAGACTAAGATAACCTTAACCACTAATTACAGCAACCACTTCACTCCCAGAAATTATAACTACAACTAAGACTGCTGTCATAACTACAACACTTCCACACAATCCCAGCAGTGTTATAACATCAGAACCAGAGTCTTGGTGATTAACACAAGCGTAATATAAACACATTACAAGGCCACACACTATAACCTGCTAGTGGTGTACTGTTCACCCCTGATGACTGAACTTCTGCAGTAACCACTACCACCAGCTTGATGTAAAGTTTCTAAAGTGATTATTTCATTTGTGATAATTCAATTTTGTTTCTCTTAAAACCAATTCTCGCAAAGTATGAGGAATTTTATTTACTTGAGATGATGAGGAAGGTGTTGAGTCTACCACCTCGAGCACCACACTCAAACTTTTTCATCTATCACATTTTCCAGCCATATAAATAAATGATGTTCTCTATAAAGAGTTTATCATAAGAATATGGGCAGCACAAAGACCGAAGCTTTAAGTACACAATTAATTAGCCCATTACAGATCATCACACAGCGGCAGCAGTCAACGAACGATGCCGCCGTTTTACCACTTCATATTTTAATATAATACCAATTCTTTCGTTATTTTTTTTGTGCAATATTTATAGTCCTCATGAAGCACTGAAAACACTTAATACAGAAGCACTTTAATCTTACCTAAGAAATTCATGGATATATGTACAATCCTTACATTAGTAATAATAAAATCCACCCCACAAGACCACAACGACACCAAGCTTTTCCACCCAGGTCGTTGCCGAGGCCACGGGAAAACCTGTTGTACGTGTGCATCAAAATTCATCAAATATAAGGAATATTAAGCTCGAGTTTCCTCAATATGGATAATCTGATTTATAATCTATCAAAACTATATACTTATTTCTAAATTATAATGATTGAAAAATGTTCGTACGCCACCCAAGTGGTAAGGCCACCATGAACAATTTTATGGTGAGTGAGTGTTTTTCACCTTATCACACTTATTATTACGAAATGAGTTCTGCAGAAAAGTACAGTATAGTGAAGACATCAAAACCATATCAGTATCACGGAGTAACCTGTGCACACTTTGGTACGATATACAGTACGTCCGAGAAGTCATGAGAGTACATGTTTTCCTTCACTGAGATCCCAGTCCCACGCTGTCACCCTTCATTCAGTATAAACGAGTTATGTGACCACAAGTAAAAATCAGTGTACTGTATATTATTTTCGTCTGACTTACACAATATTCATTAAAGAACTAAAATTAAGAACACTGGTTAACAAAATTATAGTATTAAGGATCATTTATCATTAAAAACAATATCACTCACAAAAAGTTTTTGGTTATCCTAGTACTGTATACATAAGAACATAAGAATGGAGGAAACTGCAGCGGGCTTATTGGCCCATACTGGGCAGTCCCGTTTACACCCAACCCCTATTGCTCATATAAACATCCAACCTATGTTTGAAGCTATCCAGCGTATTCGAGTTAATGATGATATTTGGTAACTTGTTCCATTCATCCACTACTCTCTTTCCAAACCAGTGTTTACCTATTTCACGCCGAAATCTAAATTTGTCTAATTTAAAACCATTGTTACGAGTTCGCTCCTGGTTGGATAGTTTGAGTACCTTCGTAATGTCCCCTTTGTTTAACCCTAACTTCCATTTATACACCTCTATCATGTCGCCCCTCACTCTACGTCTCGAGGGAGTGCAAATTAAGATGCCCGGGATTAGTCTTGTCATTCTCCTCTGGATTCTTTCCAATGATTCTATATCCATTCTGTAATACGGTGACCAGAACTGAACTGCGTAATCCAGGTGTGGTCTCACAAGCGCTAGATATAATTTTAAGATGACCTCGCTAGTCTTGTAACTAACACTCCTTTGTATGAACCCAAGTACTTTATTAGCCTTGTTACGAGCAAAAACACATTGTTTACTTGGCTTAAGATTCCTACTTATCATTACTCCTAAATCTCTCTCGCAGTCTGATTCCACAATGTCATCGTTGTTCATCTGGTAACTGGTTTCTCTGTTTACATCGCCTATACTGAGTACTTTACATTTGTCCTTTTGAATTTCATCTGCCATTTTTCCGACCATTCGAAAAATTTGTTTAGCTCTTCCTGTAGTTTTGCAGAGTCCTTGTCAGATTTAATTACACGTCCTATTTTAGTGTCATCAGCAAATTTACTTATGTTGCTGTCTATGCCGATATCTATGTCGTTTATGTATATAAGGAATAATAATGGTCCAAGTACCGAGCCTTGGGGAACTCCACTAGTGACGTTGCTCCAATGAGATTTAGTGCCGTTTATGCTCACTCGCTGTTTCCTGTCCCGTAACCACGCCCTAATCCATTTAAGGATATTACCTTTGATGCCATGCGCTTCTACCTTTCTAATTAGTCTTTCGTGGGGGACTCTGTCGAAGGCTTTGCTAAAGTCGAGATATACCACATCATAATTGTGCCCCTCGTCCACCGATTCGAAAACTGATGAAAAGAATGTTAATAGATTAGTTAGACATGAACGCCCGCTTGTGAAGCCATGTTGGGAATCATTGATCAACTTGTGCTTCTCCAGGTGGTTTTGAATAGAGTTTGAAATAATTGATTCTAGTAATTTACCTACTATTGATGTTAGACTGATTGGGCGGTAGTTAGAGGATAGTGATCTATCCCCCTTCTTGAAAATCGGTATTACATTCGCTATCCTCCAGGATTCTGGTAATACACCTGTTTTAAGGACATGTTAAACAACTTTGCTAGGGGCATACTAAGCTCATCCTTACATTCCTTTAATACTCTGGCAAATATCTCATCGGGACCAGGTGACTTATTAGGCTTCAGTTTGTCTATTTGCTTATTAACATCGTTACTAGTCACTACTATCTCGCTTAATTTGTTTTCTTCATTATCTCTGAATAGAGTCGGTGCCTCGGGTATCATGTATAAATTTTCGGTGGTGAAAACTGTTGAAAAATATTTATTCAGATTATTGCTCATTTCTCTGTCGTTATCAGTGAGCTCGCCGGAGTCTGACCGTATTGGTCCAATCTTTCCTCGTGTTTTAGTTTGATACATTTGGTAGAATCCTTTGGGGTTTGTTTTCGCCTCCCCTGCTATCTTCAGTTCATAGTTCCTCTTGGCTTTTCTTATCTTGGTCTTGACCCAACCGGCCAATACCTTATAATACTCCCGGAGGTAAGTTTCGCCACGATTTATCCTTCTACCTATAGCCTTCCATTGGCCAATGATGTTCTTTAAATAATTATTTATCCATTTAGGGTCATTGTTGTCTGATCTGAGTTTTTTGTATGGTATGTTCTGCCTTTGTGCATTAAGTACCTCACTATTTAAATTGTCGTGGAACTCGGCAATCTCAGATCTCGTTATCAGGTCGGTGTCATCTGTCAGGTTCACATCCAAGCGTGACACCCCCTCTCTCAGCTGCCTCTTTAAACTATCAAAGTTTGCCCTTCTGAAATCTGGGACTTTAATGGAATTCCCTTTACGTCTGACCTAAAAATCTAACTGGAATCTAATTTTTTTCTGATCGCTGTTTGCAAGTTCATTCCCTACCTCGACATTGCTAATGAGGTTTTCTCTGTTCGACAGAACTAAATCGAGTATATTATTACCCCGTGTGGGTTCGGTTATATGTTGACTTAGGAAACAGTCCTGGATCGTTTCGAGGAAATCCTCTGACACTGAGTTACCCGTAAGGTCAGTCCAATCTATTTGGCCAAGGTTAAAATCGCCTACTATACAGACTTTGTTGTGTATGGAAGCCCTGCGCATTTCATCCCAGATAAGTCGCTCATTAACTCTATCAAGATTGGGAGGTCTATATATTACTCCTATGATTAATTTTTCCCTACCGTCGATTAATTGTATCCAAATTGTTTCTATATTCCGCTCAGTTTTTATTTCCTTATTTATTTCGCACTTCAGATTATCCCTGACATAGATGGCTACTCCGCCTCCTTTCCTGGACGGCCTATCGGTATGGAACAATTTGTAATCCGCAATTTGGTATTCGACCGGCAACTCACGTGAGTCTAGGTTGATCCATGTTTCGGTGAATGCTATTATATCGATTTTTTCGGTACATACCAAGGCCCTAATATCATCCATTTTGTTTCTCATACTTCTACTGTTCGCATAGTAGACATTTAAGTTAGTCGTGTTCTGAGTCCTCCCTTTACCGCGTTTAGGTTTAAACTCCCTGTCTAATTTAGTTTTGTCATTATTCCTAACACTATTTCCCTGTAATCTTTCACTTTGTTTACCTGCTCCCGCTGCAGTCTCCCTCACCCCCGTGCCCATATGTTCCCCTAGCAGTTTAAAGACTTCGATATCTTTTGAACTGCCCCCTCTAGAGACCCCGCCAGGGTTGCCACCCCTTCCCGAGACAGGTGTACCCCATCCCTAGCACAAAGGTCCCTTCTGCCGTAGAAGTTGTCCCAGTTGTCAATGAATGGGACTGATATTGACTTGCAATATCCGTCAAGACGGCCGTTGACACCAACTGCCCTTGACAACCATTCATTGCTAACTCTCCTTCTAGGCAGGACACCACATATGATTGGGATCCCTCCCTTAGTCCTAATGCGACCTATAGCTGTCTTAAACTTATCAAGAAGCTCTTCACTCCTACACCGGCCAATATCATTGCCTCCTGCACTGAGGCAGATAATGGGTTTGTTCCCATTACCAGACAAGATATTGTCCATCCTGTCAACTATATCCCCCACCCCAGCCCCTGGCAAACACACCCTCATCCTATTTTTATTTATACCACAAAAGGCTCTGTCCAAGTACCTTACCTGTGAGTCGCCAACAATTAAAGTTTTTACACCTTCCTTGTCAGCCCTGTCCCTGACTGTACTAACGTCCAATTCGTCTACATTCTGTTGATCATGTTAATGAGCTATAAATAAACTTAAGCCTGTGAATGTTATTGATATTGGCTTCAACGGTACAATATATCGGACGTGATAAATAGGGCTAAAAATTAAAACTATAAAAGTACATAATTATCTTGGTCAGCTTCAGGAATGGTCCAAGTAATGGTTGTTAAGATTCAACGTCACGAAATGCAACTGTAAGGAAACTTATCATATGTCACAACGGGACAAAGAAACAGCATTAACGCAGGACCTGGGTATTTTGACAAAGAACAGAAGTTACCGTTTCGCACCATTGTGAGAAGGTGACTCAAGCGACTAAGCTAGTGGGTCTTATAAGAAGGTCGTTAAGATATCTAGACTCTAGATTCTAGAAGGTCCATCTCTCGTAACGCTCTTCAAGAGTGAGGTGCTTCCCTGTTTGGAGATATGCTAGAGACCGTCAGTTGATTGAAAATGTCCTCAGGAGGGCCACCAAACTTAGAACATAAGAAAATAAGAAGTCTGCAATAGGCCGGTTGGCCTGTGCATGGCAGCTCCTGTCGTAATCGAGAGTTACTACCACTCTCTATCATCCATGAATCTATCTAGCCTCCTTTTGAAACTTTCCAGAGTTCCAGCACTTACTACAAAGTTGCTAAGCTTGTTCCAC